CTTATTTGATATTTTAATTTTAGTGTGAAAAACCCGAAAAAATGGGGTTTTTTGCTCCAACAGAACGTAATAAGCCTGTAAATGACCGTCGCCGACCTCCCTACTATGATCCAACTCTAGTAAAGTTGTCAGGCACGGCGTGAATTTAAGACATAAACAGGTTGGCAGGATCCTTGAATTAACTAGGAACTGGAACTCTGATGCACTTTTTCGTTACAAAGGATAAACTGACTGCATTCTCAGACGTGTTGTACAGATAGGTCATAGTCCCATAAATGTACAGACGTGGAAGTTGAGAGCACAGGTCACCTTTCTAGATTCAGCTAGTGGACATTTCTTTTAGTCTATCGGTAGAATGACTGGCTAGGGACCAGAGGGTCGCTAGTTCGATCTCCACCGGATGAAAGGTATTTTTTATTATACCTTCCTATTACAGATTTGTTGACGTTGACCACTCCAAGTGTTGATTTAAGCTAGAGGAGATTTAGATGCCTAGTTTGATATATTGAACCATGGTAAAAGACCTTGTGAACGAGGGAGTAGTGTAGAAAATGAAAGTACAGGTCATGTTTCTAGCCTTGGCTAGTGTGAATTTCTCTTTAGAGTGATAGAGTGACAAACAAGTGAGGCTGAGGCAGGGCAGTTTTCATTACTCATTCCAATTACGAAAGTATGACTGGAACAGAAAAAAAATGATATCCTTATTTTCTTTATGATATACATATTTCTCAATTTACAGTTAGAATCACCTGTGATAGTCTGAAAGGTTCAGACTTGATCCTTCAGTGATTTCATTTTTGTCTTGGTTACATTTGTTAGAGAACTAGTCAAATTCAGACAATACTTCAATATTTTTTGATCACCCATCTATGTTGTCGGTGTGTGCTGAAGTAACACCTCTGAAAGTACTTTCTGCACTACATGTCTATGGAACAACACACATATGTACAGCTATCTTGTAGTACTAGACCTGTCCATAGTAATGGATTTTATCTTATAGTACCAAATTAAACCTATAATGAGCTCTAGTATCGTTCTAGAGTGATTATTGTATACTGTTAAATTCTGTTTACTTATTACATTTTTATGTGTACTTGTTATGTCATTATAATTGTTTTATTTTTGTGTGGTAAGGGACATGGACGATTGTTTAGTTCTGTACAAGCTGCTGAACAAGTTTCAACACAGGATGCAACTAAATTTGAAAAGGAACCACCAAAGGTAAAGTTGACACTGTTCCTGTACAAATATGATTAATTATGTTATGAAAATATAAAAAAAAACATATGAAAGTAAATGTAAATTGATTTTGCAGCTGAAAACTGGTTACTTTATATATCACAACTGAAGTACTGGAGTTTACCAAATATTGATTTTGGTGTCATGTCCCAACAATATATTGATATGGGTTGGCAGCTTATATATTACATAATGACTTTTTGAAAAGTGACTTCAATTGTATTTTCTTAAAATCAGTATTTGGACAAGGTTATACTAATTTTACAAAATGTTTATAGTATGGGTTAATCATCAGTATGCTCACACTGCATCATTTATATCTTGTACATGATAGTCTTGAAAGTGACCATATATTACAGACAATGGCAACACAATGCTTCAAATTAGATATCGTGGGGCTTTCTGATGGTTATGACTTTGTTGTATAAATTTATATATACTACGATAAACAATTATATAGATAAAATTGACCTTGTCCTTTGTGATAAAATGATTAATTATCAGAATCAATACCAGAAATGTCTTTTAAGGAGAATTCCACAAATTAAGGAATCATATTTGAATGGCTCTTTTTTTTGTCTATCTGCGATTCAACGATCACATTTCTTTGATTCATGTTTTTGGCTGTCTGCCATTCTATGAAAATGTTCAAGACATTTCAAATGATAGATAACACAAATATATCTTGAATACGTCTGTGTAGTCCCTAACCTTGGAGCTTTTCCAAAGTCTTCTTAATCATTGATGCAGCTGAAAATTTGTTCTTCCTTAGATGAAAAGGAGATCACTCTTACTCAATTGTTACATATATATTGTATATGTCAATTTCATGGCTCCATGGTCTCGCATTTCCCAGTTGGAAGGGGGTAAAGTTTACTTTAGTTTATATAGACAAAATAAGTTTTTGAGCATAATTTGTTTAATTTCCATTTGAAATATTTCAAACTTGGTTGGAATTATAAGACTAGGGTGACAGGTAGATGGTATGCATATAATGATCTTGGCAGACCTCCGGGGCTGATGGGTGGGCAAAAAGGGTCAAAGGCTTAAATTTCAACATTCTTCTTCTTGACACCCAAGTATGGTAGAATTAAATACTCTTCATGGATAGAAGCGTCTTAAAGTGCTTTAATTATCAATATGTGTCTTGCATTTCTTCCTTGGAAGGTTAACTTTACTGTAATTTTTATAGAAAAATTAGATTTTTGAGCAAAATGCTGTTTATTTCCTAGCGGAAATCACTTTGTAAAAATTAATATACAATGACAGTTTTGATAGTATGCATGTATTTGCACTGGCTTACTATCATCAATTTTGCAATTTTTTTTCATGACACTTGAAAGAAATTTACTCCGTTAACCTTTATATTCAATATTGCTTATCTCGTGTGACTGTCAAGGCCGCTTGGCCTCTTGTTTGATTTTTGTTACATCACTTGTTTATCAAGGTTAAAACCAAATTTGTTTACTTCTTTTCATTAACTATTAATGTTTCATTTTGTATCAGGTGACAAAACTTGACAACCAATTAACTGTTGCATCAATTGAAAATGCTTCACTCATATCAAGAGTGGGAATAGCTGTGAAGGCAGGAGCACGGTTCGAACATGCAGGTTATAATGGCATCACTCATTTCTTTAGGAATGCACTTGCTGTGGTAAGTAAAAATACTGACCCAGTATAAAGTATGATAAAGTTTTCTCATTCTTCAAATGAATTATGATTATTGATAATAATTAAGACTGCCACAAAAGTTTACGTCATGAAACTGACCTCTGCAGCAGTGATCAATGAACAATTTCTTTTGATGTGTCCTTTTCAGTTTTATTGCAAAAAACAATTGGTTCCACAATATAGAATATCAGTATTTCCAGAAATTCTATGGGTTCCAACAAAATTCTCATAGTACAGGACTCAGGATTCATATGTTCATTTATCATTGCTGAAGAAAGAGAGATATCATTCAAATATTCATCAACTCCACACACTGCTTTCATAACAAGTGCTTGCAAGGATTGAATTTTGTGTGAAAAGGTCAGAGATAAAGGTCACTTTCGACTGTTTAGTTACTGTGAATAAAATAATGAGTTTTTTTTTCCACTTAGTAACCTAAGTTCCCTTATACCAATCAAATTCACACTTCAAACACCATTTTTAAATGACTGTGCTTGTTAGTCACCCATTGTGTCGTGTCTGTCCAACCTTTGTGCTGTCAGGGTTCTATCTGCTAAAGACCTTGAACAACTTTCAAGGTCTTTCAAAATCTTTAAATAACTTCTTCTCAAATACTAGAAGGCCTAGGGGGCTAATACTTGGCCCATAGCATGCTGGCATGGAGCCCTACAAAGTTTGGTGCTTGTTAGTCACCCATTGTGTCAAATGAATGACCTTGGCCCACTTTCAAGGTCTGTACAAAGGACTTATTCAACCAACTTTTTGTGTTAAAATCTTTAAACAACTTCTTCTCAATAACCAAAAGGCTCAGATTGCTGATATTGTGCCTGTGGCATGCTGGGATGAAGGGCTACCAAGTTTGTTCAAATGAATGACCTTGACCCACTTTAAAGGTCACAGGGGTCAAATATGTTAAAATCTTTAAACAAGGGGTATGGGCGCTTCTTGGTTAGGCAGTATGTTGGAGGTTCACAAATTTCCATTTACTATAACTTGAGTTCTGCACAGTAACACAAGTTCTCCTGAACTGATAAATCTTTAAAATTACAAAACAGTACCTGGACATATAACTCAATGGGAGGATTTATTTTATTCATCTATGCTTCTTGTATATTCCAAAATCATAAAATTTTGCATTTTGAAAGTTGTTCATATGTAGAATTCAATGACAATTGTTGTACTATTGTTTATAAATTTGCAGACGACTGCTACAACACATTGTGTATCGGTTGTCAGAGAGCTCCAGAAATATGGCTGCAACCTGAGGTATTGTATACATATGCACTTAGCCATATATCTTATATATCTGTTCAGAACCATTCTTTAAGGTTTATCTTGCAAAGCATACACAGTAATTTACCCAATTGAATATTGGGGTGATAGAGAGAGAACAGACAGTCTTGAAGTTATTCAAATATTATCTTTGTTAGTGTCCAGCTCTTAAGATTATTGTAAGCTGAATGAATTCCTTAGTCTAGGATTAAGAGTAAGGCTGATCTAAAAACACCAGGAATACCTGATATTTTATATGTGTTCATACAAACCCCCACAGTGATTCTATCTTCCTTTATATACCTTTCAACTTGCCCTGATACTGCAGGATTCTCCCAGATTTTTGTACTACCAATGGGAGGTAAATCTCCAAGACAGCCATTTTCCTTACATCACTATTTTTGGCTAAACAATTAAATCAGAATTTATTACACTAATTGAGGGACTTGTAGTAAATGATTTACACTAGAGAGATACGAACCACCTGGCACAAGACCTGTTAGGTTTGCGCTGTCAATTTTTAATGATTTTATCACTATTACGGTTAAAAATCTTCAGAAGCAAACAAATCCGTGCTAGCTGTCAGTGGATTAATTACATGAATATTGGCACTATCCTATCTGTCAGATAAAACCAACAGGCAACTGAATTTTTGTGACTGCCTTATTGAATAAGTAGTAAAAGACATGAAAAAGGAGATGATAAACCTGGATAAAGAGTTTTTGAATTTTATCAGCATGGTTAGGACGTTTTTAGAAATGTTTAATTATTGCATTGATTTTGTAATGTATATATTCAGACAAATTTTCATTTCATTTTTATATAATCAATACAAGACAATTTGCCGTATATTTATGTATCAATTCATCTTTAACAAAAAGAAAGTTTCCTTTTCCTTTATTTATAAACAACAGAACAAAGCCTTTCTTTGCATAGATTTGAAAGGCAATTAGCATGCACAATTGAATAAACTACTTGGTAAATCTAGAGCTGAAATCACTGTTGTGTGAAAGCAAAAGTTTTGAGAGTGAGTTATTAAGCATAATGAAATTATTTCATATATAACTTATAAATGACAGATTAGAAATCATTTGTAGCATGGAAAGCACAAACTTGATAATTTGCAAAAGTATGAATGAATTTTTTTTCTGCATTCATAAATAAACTTAACATAACAGCAGGTCCAAATGACTGCATATATATAGTGTTTCTGTACTCTATTTAATGTTTGATGAAATTGGATACAAAGTGTATGATACATGTCACAAAATTTATGTATTTATGGAAGCTTTATGGCTCCTGCAAAACAGCCACAACAGAAAAAGGAAACATATTCTACAAAGTATTATTTGGTCTCTGGAATTTAAACCATTGTTTAAAGACATCCTCTCCAAATATACATAAAGCTTACAAGGAACGCAAGCTATTGTTGTTCCTATAAATAAATTTCCTGTGTCTTATACAAAATATGATTAACTATGAATATTAATTGTGGAATACTCTTGATTTTCAGTTGTACTTCAAACAGAGAATACATATTTTATCAAGTTGAAGGCACAAGAGACACAATGTGAGTACTCCGATAATGAACAACCTGAATAAAAATAGTAATAGCTGAAGCTCAGGTTTTAATCGTGAAGAGTTCCAGGAATCTTGGCAACTTATGTTGCACCCTTTTGAATTTACAATTGTACATGGTATTTAGATCTTCTAATTTCACATCCATTTGGTACAAGATGGAGGTTTTGTTGTCAAGTGATATTTGTAGTCTTAATTTCAATGTGTTACTGCTTTTCTTTTTCAGAGAAAGGGGTGTCGACATGATGACAACAGTTTTATCTGAGCCTTTATACTATAAGCACGAGATTGCTGGAGTAGCTAACCTTGTGAATTTAGATGTTCAAAGTTTATCACCTGAAGCCAGTAAGTATATTAAAAGAAATGGATTGACCAATCATAAAATCCAATCATATTTAAGCTTTAATAAATGATTACTCTTGAATAATTTGATTTTTTGCCTTTTTATGATAAAACAAATTTTGATAATTTGGTTCATCACTAGAAATCAAATATATATCATGAGAATTATTTTTGTTTCAGTGGTAATGGAAGACCTGCATGCTACAGCATTCACAGGTGGTATGGCAAATTCCATTTATTGTCCACAACACCAGATTTCAAACATCAATGCAGACATGGTAAGTGCACTAAACTATAGATTTTTGTTATTGAAAATGAAAACAAACACCCCAAAAAAAGGGAGAGGTACATCTTAGAAATAAATCCTTGTGTTACTTCATTTGTTTTAAAATTATTTATAGCTTATATCTAAAGCTCAGCTAGTGTCCTTTCTTTAAATTTACTTGAAATATATTGTATTACACAGTCAGGCCTGTGTGAATTACCCAGAATATCAAAACACCTCTGAGATATAAGAAGGGATTTTTTTCTTTAAACTCTCTATTATGATGACTAACATCTCCACCCTGTTATTGACATTTTGTTAGTGTGGCCTTTTTCTTATTTCTTGTTTACTTTTTCATTTGACAGATGCATGCATACAGACTGTCTCTCTTCAAGGAGCCAAGGATGGCCTTTGTAGGGCTGGGAGTCAATTCTGATTTCTTAGTTGAAAGAGCGAAGCAGTATCCTGCTAGTCTGGGTTTATTAGGAACACCAAAAGAAATTCCTTCTAAATATGTTGGCGGTAAGTACTCAAATTGTCACTGTTTCAGAAATGAATATGTTGAGGTTTGTAATTAATTATAATCCTCACTAGTTTAGTCCTATCTGTATGGATCATCTCTCCCAATTGCTCTATTGCCAAATCTTTGGTTTTACTGAACTAGTATGTTTGTGACAATTTAAAAGTAAGTGCATGAAGTAGAATGATTATTTACGATACTCCTCCTTCCAAAGATCAGACAGCAATTACTTGAAAACAACTATGTGAATGCATTCAATAAGTACATTGTATTTAAAATTTACTACACACCTGTTATTTTATATCAATCTTCTTTTGTTCTGTCTATCAGCTGCCTATGTATATCAGATAAAAACTGCTGCTTGTATTTGTACAGTGGAACTTCTCCAAACCGACCATGCATGGGACATGAATATTTGACCAGTTTAGGGAGGGTTTTCAGCATTTACACCACACATGTTCAAATGAATACAGAGAAAAAAAGTAGAGTAATACTATTTTGGTAAAGTGATTCAGTGATAATAGTATTCTATAAGTGGCTTTAGTCTCTAAGAAACCCGGTGATCTTGGAGAAATGTAACATTACATGCAGCCCAACATAGATCTGGTCGGATGGTCTGCTTATCCGAAAGTGTTGTCAACAGATATCTTTGGATGAATAAGTCTCTTTGTTGATCATTTTAAAAACTTATCTTCTTAAACAACATTTTATAAATATTTCCATCTTGTATGTGTTAAAATAACGTAAAATCAATTACTTACGACTTTCAAGCGAAACTGTGAGATTCTATACTATCATAAAGAGGACATAATTCTGTACATTGCCATTTTGTACGGTTCCAAGAGGTGATCGGTTTTGAGAAGGATCGGTTTTAGGAAATTACACTGTATTAAGTAAGCTTGTTCACCAACTAGTTTCTTCCTGTGTCAATTCTTTGTTGCCATTTTCAAAATATGTTTGTTTGCAGGAGAAAGCAGAGTACAAACTGGTGGTGATCTGGCATATGCCTTTCTAGTGACAGAAGGACCAAGGTAAAGATACAATCCTGTCCATCATTTGTCATCTACAGTAACAACTTCTGATCATAGAAGGTTAAGGGTTTAACAATTACAAGAAAATGGTATATTAAACTGAGATGTTGTTTAAACCTTTTTTGTAATTAACTAACATTACATAACTTTGAATTCCTTAGCTCTTTGGCAGCTTTACAGAGACAAATGCTATCAGAAAATAAATTTACCTTGACTAACATTTTAGGTTTAAGAAGAAAGATATTAAAGACAGAAGTAGCAAGCAAGTTCAAAATTTGATATCTAATATGTCCCCTCAAAGGATGAGTAATCAGTGTGGTTAAAATAGATAACTTTTAACTGCATTATGACGTAAATTTTATTACTTGTAAACAACACAACAAAGTTACTGTATATGACCTAATAAGGGCACAGAGTGCAGGCAATTGAAGGTGAGGGCGCCCTTAATAAGACTTAAAATTCAGAAGTTTTATGAAACAGACTATAGTTGATATGTATGTAGCAGACAGCTTCCAGTTGAGAGTAAGTAGAAACTTGAAACAGACTATTGCTGAATTCCTGCAAAATGGTTTCATGTTATCTATAGACCAAGTCTAGCCCAGTCTGTTCTCGATAATACAAGTGCAGATGTACACAATGCGAACATTGAACTTTCCAAGAGTAGTGCTAGTGACTCGGACAGCGATATGGACAATGCTGATGATTACTACCACTGCACTAGCCTTGGACATTGAAATCAGGTCTGCTTTCAATGTCCACAGTGCAGACATAGTAATCCTCAGCATAGGCTGAATAATTTGGTAGGTATAGTAATTTTAGTAAAGTATCATTTCTGAATGCAACTGGACACTCGGCCAAGAAATTTTCATGAAAAAAGGCGCGGAGGCCCTTATTGAGGCACGTACCCTAAAAAGGTCATATATGGTAACTGTTGAATTAGTGTAAGTAGATTTATTGAGCTCTTTAAATCAATGAAATCGAGTATCCATGAAATTTTATTTTTTGAAGAAAAACCCACAAAAATTAAGCCCATCAAAAATGCAATATTGAAATAATTTCCTTTATTATATTTTACTGACGCAAATGATATAATGGGAAAAGGTCACATAGTATTTTTCCAATGTTTTGAAGTCCTTTTTGTGTATGATAACTAAATTTCATCCTGATTGAGCACCTTTATATATACAGAAGGACCTAAGTATCAACAAAAATAACACTCCATTAATGAAAGTTCAATTCATTGATCAATTCAGCATGACGAGCAAAGACGCAGCAGCTGCAGCAGTGCTACAGTATGTTATGGGTATGGGATCTGTTGTCAAGTACAGTCCAGGCATTGTCAGTAGACTTGGAAAAGCTGTGAACACTGCCGTGGGAAATGATAATTTTGCGGTGAGTTTTTATTATAGCAATTTTTAAGCTCCTCGAAAACATTTTAGGGAGCATACATAGTTGTCATCTTATCCGTACGTGCAAGGTAATTTTTCAGACCAGTGCTCTGACACCATTCGAAACTTTGCACAGTTATCAAACTAGTAACGTAATGGTGCCTTTGGCTTTGGAGAAGTTCTCTGTTAAAGTACTTTTTCTGGTACCATGGAAATAGATAGACCAAATTAAAAAGTTCAGCTTTCTTGGCCAGCACTATGAATTTGTTCAAGATATTGCTGAAAATTTTGTATAGTTGATAAGCTAGTACTGTAAGTAATGCAATTTGCTATGGGGAAATTTTTCATTTAAATACTATTTCTTTTATCATGGAAACTGATAGGCTAAATCACAAAGTAAAGTTTTTATTTGGGAATAATCCCAAACAGTAAAAGATCATCTACAGTAATAGTGGTGGAGTGGAGTTTACATATATATACAATTGTGTATATTTTAAAAATTGGGCATGGGGGATAATGTCACGCTTTGCATTATCTTGTTATGGTTAAATTTTGAAGATTTTACTCAAAGCTAGATGCAAAATATGGTGCATTTTCCGCAGAGTAGCCTTCCGCTGGGAACTTGGGATGGAGGGAACTATATTATAGTTTTTGTATTTTGTACATCCTTCTGTCCATCCATCTTTCTGCTATCTTTTCCAAGCCCTTATCTCCTACACTACTGGTCACTAGAAGTTCATACTTTGGGTATAAGTTTACCTTGGTGAGGCTGTGTTCCTTAGATCTCTCAGACCTACATCAAAGAAAAATAATTGCCCAGGCTTTATCTCCTACTTGTCACTGAAACTTCATGTTAAGGGTACGGATTCATATTGGTATAGCGGTCTTTCTTGTATCAAAAATAGGTCACTGACCTACATTTTGACCTACATCAAATAAAAAGATTTTCCAAGTTCTATCTCTTGCACTACTTTTCACTGGAATTTCATACTTAGTGTATGGATTCACCAAGGTGAGGGGGAGTGTTGGTAGGGGACTGGGATTCACCAGATTGTCTTGTTTATTTCATGAACTGACATTAACGGTTTGTGTGTAAATTTACATCCACAGAATGATGATGTTTTGATTTGTTGAGTTTCTTTGACTATATGACTACATTGATTGTACACAGGTATCTGCTGTAAATCTGCCATACTCTGACACTGGCTTGTTTGGATTCTCAGTGACTGGCAATGCTTCAGATATTGGAACAGTAAGTTTATTTTCAGTATTACCATGGAGTTAAAAAAGTAGTACAGTCACCTTGGAATGATATGATACCATCACATGTCAATTAATACAAAGATGAAATAAATTCTCGTAATAGGTGTTCAATGTTATCATTGACTTTTGATTTGCTTTCACAATCCATAAATGTTAACATTTACTTTTGTACCAAAGGAATTAAAAGTAATACTGTTTAAGAGTTGATTTGATGTGATAATTGCATTGACTATTGATAAAAAAAGCAATTATGATGATATATGATGATAAGTGTAGTAATATTTTTTCTGGTTATTTTTGTATAGATTGTGAAAGCAGCAGCAGCAGAATTTGCATCTGTAACAAAGGCTGGTGCTATATCTGATGAGGCTGTCAATAATGCCAAGTAAGTAGAAAGCTGATGAACTTTTGTATAGATAGTGTCCACAGAATTTCAAATAAAATTGTATTTTACATGTCACTACCATATTAGGTTGTTGGGGGGGCATATAGTCTTACCTATGTCCATCCAGAGGATATGTGTCATCCCTTTTCCGAATCATATCATATCTTAAGAAACCATGTATTTATACCATATTATCATAACGTCAAGTTCTACACCTGATCATATTTTGGTTTATGTTGGAGTGGGAACATTCATGTCTTACATATATTTTCCTGTCATTGAATAATGTCCATTTTGAATCAATAGATAGATGCATACCTATTCATATGTAAGCACTAGTGCCATGTCACACAACTACTGATCAAATTTAAGTGGTATAATGGGATGGCAATAGTGATTTCAGTAGGACAGTCATTTCATAAAACACATCCATACAGAGGGGTTGTTTGACATAGTAAAAAGATTGGTGCTATTTTACAATATCATAAAACCTCATCCGTGCAGAGAGGTTGTTTGACATAGTAAAAGGATTGGTGCTATTTTACAATATCATAAAACCTCATCCGTGCAGAGGGGTTGTTTGACATAGTAAAAAGATTGGTGCTATTTTACAATATCATAAAACCTCATCCATACAGAGGGGTTGTTTGACATAGTAAAAAGATTGGTGCTATTTTACAATATCATAAAACCTCATCCATGCAGAGGGGTTGTTTGACATAGTAAAAAGATTGGTGCTATTTTACAATATCATAAAACCTCATCCATACAGAGGGGTTGTTTGTAGCTAGTAGTCTATGAAGTGATCAGTAATCACAAAATGCTGACATTCAAGCTGAGTAGATTTCCTGTGCGACATTCAGGTGAAATAATGTACTGGTAGATCTGATGCACATGACTGATGTTCCAGTTAAATGATTGATAGCTTCACGATTCTGTATATTCACTGTAGATTGAGGAGTGAGTATGTACTTGATAATAAATTTTAATAGATAAAGAGTTACATTATACCAGTATACACTTTTCTCTTGAGCTCTTCAGCAGCAAAACTTGGTATTCCAGCAAAAGACGCAAGTTACATGTGGTAAACATGATAAAATAATACATGTATGCCTTGAAGTATAATGTGAAAAACAGAACTGTTTCAATTAGTTGTGTTATCTTGTAGTTAATATTAGATTTTTGATAATGTGTAGGAAATTTATTGAAGCCAAAATGCTTTTTATATATTTTAGGAATCGACTCAAATCAGCCTTACATATGGAGTATGATGATACAGCCAACTTAATAAACAGCATGGCTGTAGAATCTTTGACTACAGGAAATGTAACAGAAGTCGCCGCATTATCACAGATTGTGGACAGCGTGTCAACAGCAGATGTAGTTAATGCAAGTATTTTTTCCTTATTGAAGATAATAAGACAGCATATCATACCTCTTTCTCAAATAAGAGTGTGGACAGAATATCAGCAGCAGATGTTGATGATATTAGTGTTTCTCACTTTTTATAGGTTTCAGAAAGTAGATTTATAGCAAATGCTGGTAGCACATTTCTCACATGATATTGGAAATTGTAGCAGGTATTATTGATGTACGAGGGCTGATTGATTAGTTGTAAGCCTCATATTTAAGGGTTTGACTTTCAGTGGACATATTGCATTATTTTTCAACATAATTCCCCTTCAGTATCTCTACTTTTGCCAGATGAGAGTGTGATGGAGCAAGATCAGGCTAATAAGGTGGATGCTAAATCAATTCTAAGCCACAATCGTTAATGGCAGCTGAGGCAACCCCAGACTTGTGCACTGGGGCATTTTCCTTGTGGAACATGAGAAAGTTAGCAGGATCTGCCTCTAAAAAGTTCAGATTAGCAAGCAACAAAGTCCACTCTGTATGTTTCTATTCAACTGTCATAAGTCTTGGTACCCAACGGGCCGAGAGCTTTCTGATTGCACGGTCTTCTGTGAGAACAGAATGCACTTTTTCCTGTAACTTGCCTGTCAACCATAACAATATAATGGATTTAATTGAACGTTTCTGGGGTTGCAACAGTGACTGGCCTTCCAGGATGGGTGCCATCCCCATGGCTCTGCCTGCCATGCTTAAATTCCGCCACTCACCCACCTTTTCATTGTAGCACATGAAGGGGTACCATTCTCTAGTGTTACAACCATATCAGTATGGATATTCTTAGGTGCTAGACCTTTCTTTTGCAAGTATTCAATCACTGCTCTTTCAGCAATTTTGTCCATTTTAAAAAGTCACTTGCCTTGTTTACTTTAGAGTGTTACCTCTTTAATGACATCAGTCTTCGAGTACACAGCCTTAAAAAGTTGAGGAACAGTAGAACTTAAAAAGGATATCCCTGCTTAACTTCCCCAATACAAGGCTCAAATCTTATCAATCAGCTATTGTATTTCCTTCTTAAATCATGCAACATATTTACTGTATTTAAAATTCTCTGATTTAGAAAAGTCAAAGTACTGAAATTGGATCTTTGAAACCAGTTTTCAATTAAAATGAAGAGCTACATAATATACTGATGACAGTAAGAGCCTGTATAGGGATACCAGTGTTGACATGACATCTTTATAGAACAATTGCAAGAAATACATTGCTATGTTGCTTATTATCACAAATGCGGTACATCATGTCTAGGTTAGATTGTATCGGAAGAAAAACCCAGCTCCTGTGATATTTTACCTGTTTCATTTTGTACTTGATTTATGGGTATCATTTGGATTTAAACAGGTTTAACATATGTACATTTACATTTTTGCAGAAAAAAGTCCTTCTTTTAATTGAGGGCAAAAGTTTCTAAAATGACGATGTGAATTAAATGTAAAAGTGATTTGATGATCCTATTTATTTTATCATACATGGGGTATTTTTACAAACATTTTATCTTTAGCTTATATATATTCTCACTTACATGATTTATTACTTAGGTTGCCAAGAAGACTATCAATGGAAAACCAACCCTGGCTAGCAGAGGAAACCTCAGCTGGATGCCACGCTTGGTAGATCTGATGTAGACAGTCAGAGGATGTACTCTCCTGATTCCTTGGCGTGCATTGTTTTGGTTCACTTCTATTTGGGGACTATGATATGTTGCAGGACATTTATGCAACATATCCTTTAATGAAGTGCATTGAAAATAGTGTTTGAATGGACATTTATGAAAATTGTTGTAAAAAAACAAAAAACTGATAAAAAAATCGAAATAAAGAATGTATTTATTACGTGTTAGCAGCTGGTCTTGTTGAAGTTTGTTTCCTTATATCCAAATCCGTAACCAGGTTATCAGTACTCAACACTGCGGGAAATGTTTTCTGACTGGTGAACATTTTGCAAGAATTTTGATTAGAATCTATGAGGACCATATGACATGATAGATGAAAAGAAGTTCCAAAATATTTCCACAAATTAACGATTTGTGTCTGCCATTGACTAAAATGAGGTCAGGACCATCAGAAAATCATTTGTATTTATTTTGTTAGGAATGTCTGAAAAAACTGGTCCAAGATGTACTAACTACATTAAAAAAATACCAATTTATTGATGACACAATACATTGCCTGTATGATACTATATTTCCACACCAGAGTAGGACTAGAAAAAGTTGATGAGTATGGCTCTATACACTCTATAGACACAGTTCAGGTAAAATCTCTAAAATTGTTTTTGTTCGAAAGTCTTCAAAGAAAGAATCAATGAGGTGGGCTATAAACACTTAATTTACATACTTCAGTTAAATCTCACACTTATTCCAGTGAAGCATCCACCTGACACCAGGATTCCAATATCAGTGTTTTATCCCTAGTTCAGTTTCCTGCCTATTTCATGAAAGTAAATGAATGTAATGGGTAATACTCCTAAACAAAACCTGGAGTACAGGAACAGTCCAGAATTTTGAGTAGCTAAGACGTGCTATGAATACACTTATACCATATGTGGATAAAATTTTAGGAAATTATATTGAAAGAAAGTCTGGAGACACTTTAATCATTTAGGCTGTTCAGTAACTATGTTGTTAAATTTATAGGCATTCGATCTTGTTACTGTTTCAGCCAATGAATGTGTACGAGACCACTCCATGGACATCCTGAGTATGCTCTTTGCCTCTAATAACACAGACTTGCATGCTATCTTAAAATATGATTAATTGGACCTCTTTCAGAGTAATGATTTCCTTCTTTTCCAAATGCATTGTTAGAGAAAATGGAGTAATACTAGACATTTTATAATCTTATCCGTTTGGCAGTATTTTGCCAATGAACAAATCCTCATTTGACAAGGCAAGTAAACATTTAAGTTTTTCAGATGGAATATCAACAAAGACAAACCAATTCAACTGAAGTATGTATTGATTTATTGAAATGTGCTTTGAGAATTTGATTTGTGTAAATGATATGAATTTCAACATTCATCAGCCAATTTGTTGACAATGTCAATCATGTAAATAATGAAATTGAGTAGATGTGGCACGATTTGCACTGTCTTAATTTTCTATCTTGGACCTCTTGGTTTAAAGCCTCTTGAACGTCCTCGACCCCCAAACCCAGACCTGGAAAACTGTCTCCCTGCACTTGAGCCACGCCCCATTGGGCCCCCTTTGGCTCCAAGATTAGAACCCCTGCCACCCTGGCCTCCACGACCCTGTGCCCCTCTTTGGTAACCCCCACGACCTCTGTCTGAGAATTGTTGCTTATTTTTTGGTGTTGGAGATTTTGGCCGCAGTCTTTCAATTTCCTCTGTACACTTCATCACATGTCCATTGGCTTCCTGCTCGAAAAAATTTGAGTAGACTTCAGGATCAAAATTACTGCTTGTGATCTCTGACCCTAAAGAGAGCCAGCCTGGTCTGATGGTACTGTCACGTCCAAACAAATGCAGTCTGCGTCTTCCAAGACAGAAGTGTTCAATAATGTGGAATATTTCTACAGATTTCTCCTTGCTCCCATACTCCTGTTCCTCATCAATGATTAAGTCTATATCCACATTTGCATGAATGAAGTCACCATCAGTACTGCGTTTGACAGTCCCTTTGATTCCCATAAGACAATGCTCCTGATATTATGAAAAAGAGAGAACTTCACATGATTTGGTGAAAGAAGGTTCTATGCAAGTGACTTCAGTGAGTTTAGAATAAAAAATATGCCAGTGTACAAAATGATTTCTATCAGTCTTAGCATGATTTTATTTACCCAAGTAAGAAGACATCTTTTGAAATTTCTAAGACCAAAATAACCTGAAATTAGACCTGCCATTTTATGCAGATTTCAAAGAAAAGGGAAACAAATTTATACTGTTTCTTGCTATTTCTATTATGATGTAAAAATTCACATTTTGATAAATTGATGTGGAGTTTCTAATGTCGTGGAGCAATAAAAAATACCTTTGTTCTCTGAAGAATAGAATTTGGTTCCAGACTTTTACTTTTTGATGGGTTTTTGATATTTGTTTTAATCCAACAAATATCCTCACATCTCCGATATCCCCATCTCTTCAAACACTGGAAATGAAAATCCACAAATCATTGTAATCATTATGAAAATTAAAACATCCAAGAAGTGTATATAATTATTCCTCACCCATTTTGTTCAAGTCTTAATTTTGATGTTATGGTGTTGTCCATCCTTCCAAACTGCTTTAATATAAGTTTTCTATCAATTTATTTCATAAAATAAAACTTTGTGTGAATATGTGTTTTTTTTAAGACCCCCTTTAAAAATAATCTTCGCCTGAATTCATTCATATTCTCACTATGAGAGATATTGGTGCCTATTGGTAAAATATTCGTTTTGATGATAAAACTGATTCTGCAGTACAAATTGCATGGTTTTTTTTTGGTGAAATATGTAAATCATGCAATTCATAGGTTACTCAAAATGAACTGGGAAGGTCACACATGGCAAACACAAAATAATCCTCTTATGGATTTCTTCATAGCTCCTCAAAACTTATCAGAACTACCTGACATCTCACAATTTTGTTAAGAAAGACTGAAAAGATGTCATATAACTACTTCTTCATCTTTAAAGGAGAACTGATTCTGCTGAACTGCTTTTAAAAGCTTGTATATAACAAATACTTAAATGTAATGTAACATACAAGTCTGCCTCGTTCCAGTCCATCAGCATTCCCACACCAGATCCAAACAAATGACCTCTGTGATGCAACTGCTGGGACATCCAGTCTCTCAATCTATAACAGTCAAAAACAACGAGTGATTTGGGAAAGTACACCAGAACTTAAATAATATGTAAAGATTAACCTAATCGTAGCTCCATATACTTATATATTGTTTGAACGTCTTAAAGTCACTTACCTCGTCCCAACTCCAGAACCTGTCATACACTGCACCATTGGATCTCTGGTACTCCTCAAGTGGTGGTTCTACCAGTATCACATCAAACTTACATCCAAGACTACCGAGGTCAAAGTGATCAAGGTCACACTGTAGGTACCTAAGCAGCATTAAAACAGATCAGGAATATTTGTCTACATTCGCGTCACTGTTCTCCATTTACAAAATTGTTCACATCCAAACGGGAGCTTTCAGTAATTTATTCATTGGTGATATTTCTTGTATTGCACAGGAAACAGAAAGTTACTTAAAAATGAAACAATCCATTAAGATAAAGACTCAGTGACCTCTGTCTGGTCATTTTGTTCTTTGTTGTGTATGTGGTGACAAATTATGTCTTCTTTTCTCATAAGTGTTGAGTGAATTACTCAGCTGTTACATAAACATGTGATATCTGACTGCCCATGAAGCCTATATTAATGGAAAACATTTTTCAAAATCAAATTACTAAAGGGTTCCCTGCATTTTAAGGATTGATAGACACTATGTGATCACTAACTTACATTGGGGGTGTATTAGTTGAAGAGATCAACTCATCCTTCAAGCGAATCAGCTCTCTAAGTTTTGGATACTCCTCGAATCGGTTTGCAAGTCCTGAAACAAAAAATAATTAATGGTATCTGCTCTAGACATGTAATATCTTGTTTTAAAGTGTTCTGTGTGGACCAAAGTTCAATTATTGACCCTTTTTTTCCCTCAATCTACAAGCAAATAAGAGAGGAAGCAGTGGTTAGGGAATGAAGGTGCTTTCTCACCTTTTAGGCCAAAACATGAAGGAGCATGGGAATGAAAACACTATGGCAAGGACGCAAGATAGGTTTGATTCATTGTATATGTTCAAGGGAGAGATGGAGTGATACCTTAAATAAAATTTGCTCTTTGTCGAAAACTTAAATGCTTTTGCAAGACAAAAAACAAACTGATCATGTGATAAAAAAGATCTTTAACCAGATTTTATTTCATTCAATATCTCTTAAACTCATCACAAATTATTTGTTCAGCTTGTGAAAGATTTCTGTAAAGTTCTTAATAACCATTTTCTATATCTGAAAGAAAATTGTGTAAGTTCCAATATGAATATATCATGAAGGTAAAAAAATATCAATCTTTTGTTGATTTATTCAACACTGACATGAAGTTTCGATGGATAGTCATTGGTCCTAAAGTTTCAGATGGATGTAGTCTTGATGACAATTCAAATGATTTCTTCTGTGTGACAATTTTCATGTATTATCAACCTTTCTAAAGTTGCAGGACAGTATCGTAAGTCTTCTGAACTCTTACCTAAATTTACTCAAATTGTGGCTGTTTCTAGAAAACCTTATCATAAACTTTACCAAAATTAATTAAAACCAATAGATAAACTTGAACTGAAGTAATTTCTTTGGATATTGATGTCATACATTATAGTACATGATTCCTACATGCAACATCAAGCTGTATCCTCTTTTATTTTTCTGTGAACAATGAATTTGGACAGTCAAATGTACTACAGTTTGTAACCTTATTCATATTACATATATTTTCAAGACTTGTATTTCTAAAAGAATACAAACACTTGACAGGCAACTTACCAACATCTCTAATCTTGTTCTGTGGTCTTTCACCAGTGTCTACAAAGTGTTGACAATAGTCATTGTGGGGGTTGGCACTCTGTGTTCCCTATAAACCAAATGGATTTTAACAATGAATCATCATACCTATAATAATTAGAATACCAGGGCCAAATACATCTTCAAATGTACATAATCAAATTTCAAGACATCAAATTAGATAGGATTGTGAAAAACTTTGCACTTTTCCTAGCAGTCCAGTTAATCCTAATGAAGATAAAGAAGACTTGACAAAACACTTCTTGTTAATTGGGGTCTTTGAGTTATTGGAGTTTGTGATAATAAAATCTGACAGTATTTGTACTATAGGATATTCATAATTTTGCTCTATATTCTTGATATAAATAAATATGCCAGATTTACTGAAAAGTTATGAAATAAAATTCAATCAAACTTAAACATACCTGACAATCATATCAATGAAATCAAAATGTAATTTAGTATTTTACCTTCAAGAATGTACTAGAATCTGTGTAAAACTCATCTTCATCATCAAGTTCAGCATCATTCTGAAACATCAAAAACATGTTAATATCCTGTATTGTTAATCACAATTACTTCAGGTACCATTATATACAACTGAATCTTGGCATATTTCCAAATAACTGAAAATTCAGAAATATGTATTATATCTACCTTGGTACCTACCTTGTGTGTGATATATCAATTTTACCTACCCTGTATGTGATGTATCATATCTACCTTCCATCTGATGTATCATATCTACCTTCCATATCCTGTATCTGATGTATTATATCTACCTACCCTGTATCTGATGTATCATACCTACCTTCCATACTATGTACCTGATGTATCATATCTACCTTCCATATCCTGTATCTGATGTATCATATCTACCTTCCATATCCTGTGTCTGATGTATCATATCTACCTTCCATATCCTGTGTCTGATGTATCATATCTACCTTCCATATCCTGTATCTGATGTATCATATCTACCTACCCTGCATCCAATGTGTCAATCTATATGTATCCTTAAATATAATCAACAGTCAGTATTTTTTTTCCTGCTTTACACATAAAACAGGATGTTTCTTAAAAGTGTGTTGTTTTGCGAAAAATGTTTAAAACTACTGTACCCTGTATCTGTTATCCTGAAATCTCCAAAAATATGATGCCGCTGATTTTCCTTATTAGTAAGCAAATGCATTTTTTTCTGTATGAGAAACTACAGGTTTATTTTCAGTACAGGTTTGTATCTGAGGTCCCATGCTTTCAAGATTTTAGGTTGTCTGTACCTACCTTGGCTTTATCTTTCTGTTCATCGGGCTGTTGTTGTTCTTCTGATAGCTTAATCACTTTCTGATTTTCTGCAGTTTTCTCTGTTTCACTATATAAACATAGATAATACATATGACAAGTCCACCCAAGCCTTAAGAATATGTAGATATATAACTAAGCAGCATTGACAAAAAGGAGGATCAGATCAAAGCTTATCTATAACAAGATTAAGGTAATGTTTACCAAAAGAATCAATGTAATATTTTCGACTACCAAATGACGAAAGTGAATACCATTCATTTAGATAAACTATCCTCATATGCTGCCTGCTAAATATCATCACTATAATATATCTGAGATTCCTCTTACTTTCTTAAAAACAGATTTATAACACATCTAGCCTTTCAATTTAAAAGATGAATAAAAAAAAAGAAGAAGAAGAGAAAGAAAAATAACACAATTCAATGAATTACAGTCCCTTGCTTACAAACCCCTTCACCAAGGTGAACCTACACACCAAGCATGGAATTCTAGTAACAAGGAATGAAGGAGATACAGTCAAGACAAACTTTTTCTTTGATGTAGGTTTAAGGTCAAAATATGGGTCATTGACCTACTTTTGATGCAAAATGCAATGCCTCACCAGTATTAATCCATACATCAAGTATTAAGAACCTCATCCAAGGTCCTGTGAGACTAAATCATCCAAGATAATATGGTAGCTAACCTTCGTATAAAGTTTTATTTTAATCCCTTTGAAAATGCTAGAGTGATTAGGGATTCAGGACAGAATACTACAGGATGGGGGCAAACTTGGAAAATGAGTTCATCAATTAATGCATGTCAGCAAAAACATTAAACCTTGGAATGGTAGCTTTCTTTTCATCTTCTATGTCATCTTTACTTCTCAAAGCTGTTTTCAGACCATCTGGGCTTCCAACACCAAACTGGAAAAATAAACATATCAGTACATTTTTAATAGTATCGAGATGTTTCCTTCTGTGATCATGACCTGTATAAGCTATCAAAAAAAAAAGTCATTATATTTCTCATTATTTCAATTCAAATGTATACATCTTGAATCACAAAGATAAACCGAGATCTGCATTAATTTTATAATTTGTTTGTTGTGATTATTGCCCAATTAACTGCCAAGGTCATTGTTATGTAGTAACTCCTTGTAGTAGCTGGTAACACTTCATTGGACAGGATATGGGTAGGCTGTTACATACCATCCAGAGATATTAAGGTAAAGTGCATAGGTGTCAACCACTGAAACCTTCAATCAGAGAGATCTCCCTGATTTCACATCTCAAATAACAAGTGTGACAATTTTCATGGCATATTTTTTCTTCATAGAAAAAAATTGTCATCCAGTTTGGTGTTAGGATAATAAATAGAAACAGTGATACAACTTGGTCTTTTATATTATGTAATCTAGTCATGGTTGCGTAGTTAAACTAAAATGTTTTGATGAATTATTTATAAAACTATGTATACTCTGCTTTGTTCAAAGAGCCTTTGCTCTCCAAAGCAGCCAAAACATCCTCAGAAAAAGGGCAGTCAGTGCATTTTGTCATCATGTTTTGTGACGTATATAATATTGAACATATCAAGTCTAAGTTCTGAACAAAACTGAGCTTGCACTTTTTTTTAATATGGAAAATAATGTCTTAAGAGTCAGCATTGCTGACAGGCATCACTAGACATGCTACGGTCAGTTTGCTCAGATTTGGAAAGGGACTGAAAGTCTGAAATGGCTACTTAACATCATTATGTGGACAGAGCTAGTAACCCTATTCCCTGAATTCCTCTTTAAGGGCATCATGCAATCATTTCCAACTACGATAAATCAGGGTTTTTTTTGTGTTGCCAGCAGGTCCCTAAAGGGAATGCTTTCTCTGAGGTAGAAAAAAACTAACAAAGAACAAGAGGCAGAATACATGAACTCACATAGTTTTATTTGAAAAAAATGACAACTGCTCACCTTTGGAAAACATGCAATTTCCATTTGGATAAACATGTAAAAATTTTGTTGTCATATATCTATCAGACACATTCAAAAGTTGTGTCACTCAATCATGCATACTGATTTTCATTACACAGTCAAGAGCTGAATACACAAATGAAAACACCAAGTAAACAGTTCTTTCCATGATTTTAGAATTTTTTGTCTGAGTGATGGCTATCATTATGTATACGTGTGAATAACTTGACTGAGGCCCGTGAAATCAAGCGTGGCAAACTAGAACCTCAAACAATGGGCTTACTCATTGAATTCACACATAAACACTGCATCGGAATTGGACACACCATAACTTGAAGACAAATGGTCATGCTCCAGGGTAGTTGTGATTCTACAGGATGAAATCGGGAGTGGTTACTGAAATACAGGGTAAATTTGGTTAATTCCCACTCAGCCAACATCTTAAAAAAAAATTACCTGTAGTTACCTGTATTTACCTGGACAAAAATAAGTATAGTCTATTTCAATACTTACAAACATAAATCACCTGGTCAACTATAAGCTTGCTATTAGAAAGTTGTAAAAAAGGAAAAGTAAAGACAAGGAAATAAAAAAATGTTCAAATAAATATTTTTAGAGACAGATATATATTTACCGTATGTATGAAGACATGAAGAGAACTAGATGTTTATATAACAGAAACAATAATCATAATAACATAGTATCACTTCTCTTCATTCTGTACTTTCAACATAAACAAACTTTCATAAGTTGTTTTTTCATATATTTTTGGGTTTTTTTTACTACTACTTTTATGAAGTTATAAAATATTTGACTTTTGAACTGTATACCATTATCTATTTGATATGGTTAATGCGCAAGTAAAAGTAGATTTTCTGGAAAATGGCAGGGGTGGACATTATTTGGTTCAGGACGGATTCAAGTACTCAGTTAAGACTAGATGTAATGATAGATGTTATTTGAGATGTGTAGATCGCAAGTGTCCACCAACAGTGACCACATTGAACAACATCCCTGTGACAATCATAAACAATCACCTTTGGATACACATTTAATATGATAATCATTATATATATATTGATATAATCAAAATGATTCCACAGGTAAGTCGTTACCTGAGAAGCGGTCACTTTCCTAAAACAGACCATCGCCTTACCTGTAATTAGTACCCATTGATCTTCCCCTGTCAGAACATTACCTGTGGTCTATACTAAAATAGGATATGTTGGCCAAGTGGGAAGACACTGTAGATTTGAGCCCAATTTAGGAGATGTACCAAATTGGGAAAAATCACTAAAGTTTGATTTTCTAGGGCTACCCAGAAGAATTGGGGATAACCGACATCTATGAAAGTGTCTTTCCTGAGGACACAACCATGATAGCACAATTTGGTTTGTTTCACAGCATCCGGTGAAACAAACCACATAGGGTAAGAAGTGTCTAACCACAACATCTCAGATCTACTCAAGAGCCTTGAAATTTTGAAACAAGACCATTGCACCTTGCGATTGGGAACAATTTTGAACGGCCCTTACTGCTTCCTAATGTTCTATTTTATGGAATCTCTAAGAGTAAAGGCTGTGAGAACTAAGTTTTGCCTTTTCCCCAATGGATATCTCATTTAATAACGGGAACAGCTACTTAACTACATATCCGATTAGAAAACAGCATCAGTGATTGTCCAAATTGTGATACAAAAACACAACCACATTTTGTTACATGACGCTACAGTGTGCAGTTCACATTGTCTCCATATTAACACAAGTCATCTCTAAATAAATATTTTTCTGTTAACTAAAATATCGAACTGAAAACCCTGACACTGCATCGCATTATGCATTGACTCGTGCTAATTTTCGTTACACCCCTACTGTATATTCCACTTTTAAGTTATTTATATTCACTCAACAGCTGATCAATTTATTTGAATTGCACGTGAGCTCGGAAAAAAACCTCTATCCAACAGCATAAACTATTTCCCAACTACGACACATTTGTTTTTAAAAGCTAGATATAGAGCGCAATAGTCATACAAAGTGTTAGTTTCAAAGCGAAAGCGTCAGTTATGTTTAGTGTCATTTTTTCCCCAGAGAACAATTCTCTGGTCACGTTCAAATACTGACGAACTACTATCTTATCATTATCAAGCATATACCGCCACAAACGACTTTGCTAGGAATATTCTTACCGCTTGTGCCAGAACTTGTTTTCTTTTAAGAGACCGCTCTTTCAACTGCTTTAGCCGGTCCCCCATGTTGAGCTGACTTAAACGCTAAAGATACCACACTATTCACTCGAAGAATACAATAAGTGAAGAATTATTCAGGTTATGAGGAATTAAATATTGAACATAAAATATAGACGACCACATGCACATAATTTAATAATGATTTCTCAGTTTTTGTTTAGCCTAATGAACATTTCTGCACGTTTTCATTAATTTCCTTGCATGCCATCAATGGAGACGCAAGGCCATAGTTAACTGTCGATCGATCGCATGTTCAGATCACAGAAGGGAGACTACTCTAATTTGAGGTCAACATCGAACCATGGCGTTAAAAAGGTCAGGTGATACGGATGTATCAGCAGAAATGGCTTCAGACAAGAAGAGGAAGCAGGTGCGAGTGTGGGTCGATGGCTGGTAAGTGTGATTTATCTGCCAAATAAGACTATAGTTATTTCCAGATCGCCGATTGTATTTTCGTTAGATGAAGTCATCACCGTGACAACATTCCACTGGCAATTGGTGACAGTTCTTGAGATTGAAAATGGGCTACTGATGTTGACGATTGTCACCATGACACGTTGCCGACGTGGTCCCATAAAAAAAATAAGCAGAACATTATTTGCACGTATTAGGTCACTGAAACTACATATAGAATTAATTGTTAACATTTTAGCTCATTTGATAGTAACTTGGCTGCTAAGCTTAGCTCGTTAACACTGTCAAATGCTACTGAACAGTTCAGTAGATCTGGAAGTAATGGCCTACAGATAGAATCTGGTGAAATAGTTAGGATTACGCTTGCATCTTTTGCTACATTTTTCTCAATGTCTACTGTATTAAAAAATATTTGAAATCAGTTTTAGTGTAGGCAATAATGCATGTCTGTATTCGTCAGTAGTCTGTCCTACGTTAAGACATGTCCCTTGGAAAAATGGGCGTGGCTATATGTTGTCAGTGCAAATGCTGAACTGCGTAAACCATATACTTAGGATTGATCCTTTGTATTTCAATAATTCATTTAGTTAAGTCACTTATTCAAATTCATGATATCAATAATTCATTATATTGATATCATAATTTAAATTATATCCTTAAATGATTTATATCAATAATTCTGTACACTTAACAAACAGTTTTCAGGTGGATACATCGATTTATTGACATGGTATTTAATTTCCCAAGCTACATTCTGAAGTAAATATCATGTTTGAGAATCATTAAATTGTAATATTCACCAGAAAACAGGTCAATAACTGTTGTATCACATATGATATTTTTGTGACATTTTTACAGTAATTTACAAAATTATCATTACCTGTAATGGATAGAGTGGACAGAAACAAAATTCTGATATATATGAATGTCAAGAGAGAAAAGTTGATAAGGACTATAAAAGAGTGTAAAATTTAAACTTTATGGATGATTTGATATTGTTTAAAGTTCAACAAAATTCAATACATGTATACAAATACATTACAAGACATGATATGACATAACGATGTACAATGCCTTTCTATTTGATCGATCAATTTCAAAGGATGCTATAGTTTTAAAAATTCAAATAAAATGGTAGGAAACACCTTTGGATTCAGTTCCAGGATTAGAGGGAGCACACATTTTTTAACCCTGCCTGAAAGCTGATATGTGTCAGATGCAGTTATAATCTCATTGTTACAGTGGGTATTTAGTCTTATTGTAATATGATGGGCAAATACTAATTAATAAATCATTGATGGCTTTAAAGATGATTGGTAAATTTTCTGTTTCGTTCCAGTTTTGACATGGTACACTTTGGCCATGCAAATGCCATACGACAGGTAAGTTGATAAATTTTATTTTCATACATTCATGTATGCTTTAGAATAGATTCATGTTTTAGCTTTAAGCTTTACAACCATATACATTATGTAACTAAATATGTGATAATGGAATCTGGATACTGGGATGAGTTTATAAAAGATATTACATTTAAGTCTTATATGAATTTCAAGATTTTATTTCAAGATATCCACAACTTTGTATTGTTCTCAGTTCTGTCAACATTATGTCATCAAACAAGAAAATCAGCTGATACAAAACTTCTCTGGATCATTGTGGTGGAGCCTCTCGTAATTCTAATTATAACTGGGAGAATTCATTAGTTTAATTTACTATTGGGATTAAGACAATTTCACTACTTTGTGTCAAAATGTGTGATATGTTTGACGATGAAATTAGTCTTAAGTAATGGCGCTCATTTTATCATTTGCATATCCTTGGGCCTTATTTAGTTAAATATTGTAAACTTGATTTTAGTGAAGTTTACGTTTGAAAGATTCCATTCAGTTAAGTAATATGTAGAATACTGTGTCACATGTACAATCCTCAAATAGCAACACTACTAATATCTGGTCTTGGACTCCTATATATACGATGTTTATTTTATATGCTGGTATCTCTTGCTATAACATCTATGACATAGTCACATTTCAGTAATGTATACATGGTTATGGCCCTTGTTAATTTTTCCTCTCAGTCTTGAAATGGTGGAATGTGAACTGCTTAGATACCTATTGATAACATTAAACTTCATGCTTGTAATATTCATTATCTGTTTATTAATTAATTACAGGCCAAAAAAATGGGAGACTACCTAGTTGTGGGAGTACATTCAGATGGTACGTATGTTGTGTATGTTATTGTAAATGTAAATATTTCATACCAATAGCTCAGTATGTAGAGGATGGGATTTGTAAGTCTTGGGTGAAGATTTGAGGTGAGTGCTTTGACAGACCAAATTTGGGGTGTTTTGTCATTATCTGGAAGCTTTGGTGTAATGGTTTGTCCCTGGGCAAGACGCCTCACCAAAATGTTTTGAATGGAGATCTAGAGCCATGTTGTGTACACACAAATGACATGAAGTGACTTTGAATCTGATACATAATTTACAGTAATCAGTGTTGTACATATTTTCAATGACATTAGACTACAACTATGTGCAAAGGTCACTGACTGATTAAGCTATGTAAGATAAAAGTATGGTAAGTGATAACTTCATACTTGAACTTCATCCTATATTTAGGTGTATGTACTTTATCAAGTTTATCTGCTATTTAGGTAAACATATTTCGTCATTGGAGATGAGATATCTTACATTAAACAAAAAGAGTGATCAAGTGTACTTTTATAGATGATAACTCTTTTTTGATATGATGTTTTTTTGTTATCAGAGGAGATAGCCAAGCACAAAGGGCCACCTGTATTTAAACAAGAGGAGCGATACAAAATGGTCAGGGCCATCAAATGGGTGGATGAGGTAATTAAATACTCTAATCATAGATCTTTTTTATCAAATAAAAGCATCACACAGAAAAAAAACTGATGCCATAGTTTCAGGCCTTGATTTTTAAATGTTTCCAAAATCTAATGTAATTATTCATTACTTAAATAATTTGGGCATTCTTGTGAGAATTTTTGTATGACAGAATGACAATAAGTATTGGGCCTCATACAGAAAGAGCAAGATATTGAATTTATACTGTTTTATTTTACCTGATGGTCCCCTTCCAACACCACACACATGTTTCATCTAGTTAGCCAGTCATTTATGCTCAAATTAGAACTCAACATCTTTCTCCTATAACCAGCTTTCCACAGCAGTGCTCTCTTCATCTTCATCCTCAAATCTCCCAGATGCCATATATGGTAGCCACTCACTTTTCAACCTGTTTGTCAGATTGACCTACCAGGACTAGAAACTTTATCACTGCTCTACGCTAGGTTTTGTCTTTTTCATCAGCTCACTTTTGGTATGTCTCTGTGTTGTGAGTAAACAATGGCAGTCGGCAGTATAATCCTGTGGGAAATCAGAGGCTAAGATAAGGATGTTTATTAGGTGTGGTGCATTTTAAAATGTATAAGGCTGGGATGTTTGTGATATCCCCTCATACCCTTCAATAATGCCTCTTACTCACAGAAAGGGGATGGAATTTTAACAGTACAATGCTATAGCATCAGTTTAAATATTATTGATATTAAACCATTAAGATATATGACTTTAAAAATCCATGAGATTGTTTCTAGTACCTACTCTCTGTGTGTTTTAGGTGGTGGAGTCAGCACCCTATGTTACCACACTGGAGACATTAGACAAATACAACTGTGATTTCTGTGTACATGGAGGTTTGTATAAGGGACAGTAACTTTATATAACTATAATTTAATTGACAATTGTAAAATTTTCATAGAAACCATCAAAGGTTTTGTTGAAGCTACTCTGACTGAAATGTTTAAGTAAGTGCCGACTTTGATGACAGAATTATGTCTTTTTACTGAAACAGTTACCACTTTCGGTTATAAATAATTGTACCTTTACCTGGCAATGTATAATGTATTTTTTCTTTAAACAGATGACATTACAACCACTGCCGATGGTACAGATTCCTACCACATAGTGAAAGGTGCAGGGCGCTATAAGTAAGTATTGCCAGAATCTTGTATCATTCTTCAGGGCGATAATTTGATTACATTTACATATTCTATTAATCTCAGAATGATGCAATTTACTTCTTCATTTATGGGAAAGATATCAATGTAAATACTTTGTCGCTGGACAAGGTGCCCTTAACTATATTTACTCTCATTACTTAACATTGTGTCTTTAACTGTATTCACAAGATTTTAATTTTTAATACCTTCCTTGAGGTCAAGACTAAGACTCCTGGTGCAATGTTCAGGTCATCACTTTTAGCTTGTTTTAGCCATGTGTCTGAAAGGAATGGTCCATGTAACCAAAACACCTTACTAAACAAGACTACCATTTCACATGATTGTTAAAGAAACTGTTATGTAGATATGTGTTTTTTTTCAATAAATTAAGAAATTTTATGAATGCAGGGTAAATAAATTCTTGTAGATTAAGCTACCTGCAATTTCATGCAATATCTGATCTAAGATTTGATGTTCCAAGATGGAAACTGTTGCCAAAGAAATGGAAATATCTTTTGTAAAGTCATTAAAAGAATGATGGTAAATTTCAGTTATTTTGGTCTGTTTACTGTAGGGAGTGTAAAAGAACAGCTGGTGTGTCAACAACAGATCTTGTTGGGAGGTATGTGTATTTGTAAGAATTTGTTGTAATTCTCCAAATTTAATTAGTTGCATACAGGCAAACACATCACATTAGTTTTAGTGATTAAGAATAGAGATCTGCACTTAAAACATGACTTATTAGAATTTGAATAGCAGATCATGTAATTTTGTATGGTGTAACCATTGGCGCTGGTTGTGTAAATATGTTTTCAACTGTTCTCACTTTCTTTGTAATGTGTATGTAGAGACATCATTATTTGTAGGAAATTTCATGAGTAGGTGAGAAATTTATATATGATGACTTACACATTTCTGTTGTATCTACAGAATGTTGCTGGTCACTAAGAATCATCACAAACCAGACGAGGAAAGCGTAGAAAAGTCTGATGTGTCCAATATAGGAGAGGTAAGGTTATTGGAAAAGTGTCAAAAGTCACCAAGTGCAATTAATTTACAGGTAAGGAACAATGCCTAATATCACTAGGTAAGGTCAATGGAACAGAGTCATATGTCACCAAGTACAGTTACATTATAGGTAAGGAATGGTGTTGAAGGTTACCAAGTACAGTTACATTATAGGTAAGGAATGGTGTTGAAGGTCACCAAGATTATTTACTTTAGAGGTAAGGAATATTGCCAAAGGTCACCAAGTACAATTTCACTAATTGCTCTACTTGTAAGGTAAATAAAACTGTGTCATATGTCACCAAGTACAATTACTTCATAGGTAAGGAATAGTATTGAAAGGTAAGAAACAGTGCTGAAAATCAACACATACTACTTCAGAGGTAGGGTAAATGAAACAGTATGATATGTCACCAAGTACAAATTCATTCTTTTACAGACAAGGTCAATTAAACAGTGTCTAAGGTCACCTAATACAATTACTTTTCAGATAAGGTCAGTAAAACAGTGTAATAGGTCACCACATACAATTACTAAGAGATGAGGTCAGTAGAACAGTGTCAAGGTCACCAATTACAATTAATTTAGAGAATGTCTGTAAGGTCAGTGGAACAATGTCATACATTAGTGAGTGGTGTCACGAATCTAAAAATACTGTCACTTTACAGATAATTTCACTGGAATGATGTCATGGGTCACAAAATATTGTCACTTCTCAGGTATATACAGTGGGAAGTTGTCAAAGTGTAAAGAGTGATTAGTCACTTAACAGCATCTCTCTCTAGGTAAGGATAAGGAAATAATGACAAAAACATACCATTCATTATCACTATTTTTTATCAGTTATGCAATACAGTTTGCTGGTGTAATACTCTAATTATTTCCAAAAGAATAGAAGAAAAGTTTGCGTTTTGTATATGGATATAAACTGAACTTGTCATGACTACAAATAACACTAGCCACCAACATACTAATACAGTGTTGTCCTTCTTAAATGCTGCCCAGATTTGTGTCGTTTGCGCTCATTAATTACCAAATTAACAAAACAAGTCAGCTAGCTTCTAGAGCATGTGCAAGTGAGTTCACAAATCACTTCAGCAATGTTTGTTTATTTCAGGGATTTTCCATGGTAAAGTATCCACACACTAGTATTTATGTATAAGACTAAGTGAACTATGTACACTATATTGTAATGTCCTAAGTCTGACACAATATAAACAGGAATTTACCGTCTTAGATATTAGAGACAGTTTATTTTAAAGTACACTAGTATTCAAATTTCACATTGTTTGTCTTGTCAGAAATATTCATGAAAAGTGTGTGCCAAACTATACATACCAACCAAATGTTTGAAAAATCAGTTTTAATCTAACCAACAAAAAAAATGTTGAAAATTTCTTTTGTATAAGAAAAAAGGGAGATTAACACTTTGAATATATGAAATAGTTTTGCACACTCTGTTTTTTTCTAGTTATTACTGACTTATTGTTCCTCAGCCAGTGAAGTTGGCTGCCTTTTTAACTGTTATTTCTTCCTTCTAAATGTTATTCTACAAAATGTCAAAGGGGCATATATTCAAAATAATCAGTTTTACTTTATTTTTTATATGGGAATGAACTAATATTAGGTGTTTCATAGGAGCTGGTTGATTGCTTTGATTTGGAAATCATAGAAAAGTTTTTCATGTTATTGATTGAGAAATATTGTTGTAACAAACAAAAAAAAAGCAATAAAAAATGTCTGTTTCCGATATATTTTACATGACTAATTTGATGACTCACAAAACTATAACAACATTGATATATAGAATACATCAGAAATGTACACTACAATGTTATATAATAAGAACTGTATATGTTTTAATATTTCTCTGAATATTCATATTAAATTGTCAAATGTTTTATTATTGTGTGAGGAATTCATTGAACGTAGAACATGACACTTAAGACGTTATTGTATTACATTTTCTTCAACAATAAGATTTCTTTATGCCTCTAGTGAACTAGAAACTTTCAGTACGTTATTGCTACTGAATGTAGCACATAGTTATAGTAACAGGTGCACTGTACCTAGAACCACACAGACCGCCATTTCAGCACAACAAATTGCACTTTTTTTCAGGATATACTCTGCTCATTTCAGGTCATGATGGTTCAGCTCTCATTCAGTAGGAGTGAGACATAATGAAACCAGATATAGGCAAAATTCATATATTGAAAATTTTAAGTGGCATATGTAAGAAAAGATGTTTTATTTGATTGTAATGGATTCTAAACAGGTTGCCATGGTATCCATTTAGCATGATTTTCCTTTAAAGTGAAAAGTGTTTGATTCCTTTCTTTTGTCATACTTTGTAATTAAAAGTCAGTAAATGAGATGAAAATTTTGAAGAGAATTGGTACATGTACTTCCAATTTTTCCAATTACCGGAACATTCTGAGATCAATGCTTGGCTTACAGGGATCAATTGTGATAGAACTTTAGTGTGCACACATTATGCAAACAGAAGCATTTCTTTTTTTTATATTTTCATTCCCAAAAAGTACTTAAGCATATTACACAGATTTTTACTATACTGAAAATTTGTTGGCAAGCTTTGGTTTGACAATGCCAGTAGGCTGTTGCCATTCTTTCAAATAGTTGTGAAATATTCTACTGTCACAAAAGCAATATTACTAACTTATAAATGCATCAAGATAGACTATAACTTATACAATAGCTACTTTTTGAGTTCACCATATCTGGATCAATTTCATGATCACTTCAAACTATGGATTCCACAGGACGGAAATGCCTAGCGCTAACAAAATAGAAAACTTCTATAATTGTTATGACTAAAATAAGAGAAAATTTCCTTTTTGGATCAACTAGAGAGGCAGCTATTTTACTTCATTTTTAAGATTGTTAGATTTAATATTAATCTCTGGATTAGAGGATAGTGATTTGAGTTTGGAACTTGTGATATTTTGGTTTTTAAGGAGGCTTGACCCTTCACAAGTACTGCCATATTTTTCTTGAAACTTTTACATAATGATCATGATTCCATGTGAAAATGATTTTCTGAAAATCCAATGACTTCTTATTTTTTTGGTGAAAAATGCCAAAAAACTTTCTCCAAAGTTCTTCTCCTTGTAAAGTTCTTGAAAATCATAAAGAAACTGAAACTGAAGAGAGAAAATATATACAAAACAATATTTATGAAGGGGATTATATTTGTGTTTAGTAGATAGATTTCAATGTTTATACTTAAAATACTAACATGCCATATTGCTTTAAAACTCACAAAGTAAAATGTTGGAACAAAACATTATAGAAATACTTTTTTCCTACATTTGTATATTTACATATAGAATTGTTCCTGGGGTAGGTTGTCTCCCTTTTTAGGTCGCCTGAGCCAAAGGCTCATGGTGACCTATTGCCATCATGATTTGTCTGTCGTCGTGCGCCGTGTGTCGTGCGTCGTGCATCGTGCGTCGTTAACTTTTCACATATTCGACTTCTTCTCAAGAACTACTGCATAGATTTTGACCAAACTTGGCACAAAGCATCCCCATGCGAAGAAAAATGGCATGGCCCCAATAGAGGCTCCAAGAGGAGGAAAAAGAGTGTAAAATTAGGTAAATCTTTAAAAATCTTCTTCTCATGAACCAACAGTCAGATTAAGTTCATATTTGATATTTAGGGTCCTTATGGCATGGTCTACAAAGTTTGCGAATGAAAAAAAAATTGGGTCAAAAACGGCCCCACTAGGGGGCACTTTGACCGATTTCAACCAAATTTGGTAGAAAGCATCCCTTAGTGAAGGACATATGAAATTATGTTGAAAAAAGTGATTATGTTCCCTTTGGGGCCCATAAGGGGTGTAAAAGGGGCCATATGTAAAAACCTTCTTTAAATGACTACTTCTCAAGTACCAGTAGATGGATTTTGACCAAACTTGGCACAAAGCATCCCCATGGGAAGCCGCTTCAAGTTTGCGAAGAAAAAGGGCGTGGCCACAATAGGGGCCCCAGGAGGGGAAAAAAGGGGAAACTTGATAGGAATGTTCTACACAAGGTCCTGGCAAGTGTTTTAACTTTTTGGGGCGATTCAAAATCCAAGATGGCCACCCTGGCCTCTGTTTGGCTAAGACATTATGGACTTCCTCTCAAGAACCATTGGATGGGTCATGTTCAAACTTGGTACAGATGTTTTACACATGGTCCTGCACAAGTGTTGTTACATTTTTGCAACATTTTAAAATCCCAAGATTATTGACATATATTCCTCAGGTGATCGTTAAGGCCCCTTGGGCCTCTTGTATAACAGTACAATGATATATATACATACGCATTTATTTAAAATTATGTTGTCTCCCAAGAATCCAATAGGGGTACTGTCATCCCGTCCCACCTCATTCTAATCAATACGGTCTGACCATGCATCAATATCTTTTATGTCACCTGACCTGGTTGGCTTGGAATACAAATGGTCATGAAATCTACTACTTTCGTTACAGACACTTTCAAAAAAGTAAATTGTCCTATTTCTTCTCACCAATGTTGACATTGTGGTGTACTTAAAATTCTCTGAATACAGAAGAGTTCTCTTTTGTGCAGCCCGAGATATACCCCCTATTGTAAAATGCCCCGTACATAAATAGGGAGTTACATCACCAAAATATGGCAAACATTACTTGTGTATTATGTAGGGTTGAGTCTACTTCAGTGAATAAAAGTTAAAAAAAAAAAAAAAAACGATTTTGAATATAAGTACTTGATTGAGAGTTATAAATAGGCTGTTACCCACTAAAGTTTATCACTAAACTACTGCTATTTCCCTGAATTCTTTCTCATAAAACCTGAACATTATTTGACTAATAATAATGCAAAGTGAGAAGAGTGAGTGTCACAATGGAAGATACGATAAGGCCAGCTTCACAAATTAATATTTAAATTCCTCACTATCACCACAAATACATATTTAAAATAACACATTCTTCTTGTGTATGTGTCACATATGCATCTGCTTTAAGCTTGAGGATTTATTAATTCATTTTTGCATTGCAATTCATATTTATCAATATATTCATCATAATAAGCAACTTTGCCAACAGAAAACAACACATTTTTTACTTTGGTTTGTTTAGTTTTTGTATTGAGATCAGTTTTTCAGAGTCAGTGTAACTACTAGAGCCATAAAAATTTCTTTAGTATATAATAATGTTTTCACCAAACCATAGTTTGCCAGTTGATCTAATTGGGTAAAACAAACATGCAGATGAGTGGAATGTTTGTATAAATTTTTTTCTGCAAAAAGCACATTGTCATTCTGCCTCCTGGTAGAATTCTGAACAGTAATAACACAATGCCTGTTTTTCATTTATTCAGAAGATTGATTCTTGAATTAAGTAAGATCTGTTTATTTAAACTTTATTTATCAATTAACAATTAAGAAACAAGCTTTCAATGATCACTCTTTGTTGGCTCATATGGGAGAGCATAAGGAGCCTTACAGTGAAAGGAGACGGAAGTATCAGAAAATCATCTAGGTGAAAGGAGAGTACACTACCACTGTGCCATTTACCGTGGTACTATTTTCAAAGATCATATTTGATACAAATACAGTTCTTGATACAATTCTCTATACATATCATTATAAGAATTTTAATTACCCAGGATGCATTTTGATACTGGAATGAGACAAAAAGTAGTGTAAAGTCATAATTAAAATCAGCTTTATGCAGCATTATATGCTCATTGATTATTTTGCTATTTTGACCAGACATAAAAAGCTGCCTATGGCCGTCATTCCATCTGTCATTTATCCCATCAAAATTTGGTCAAAATTTGGTTTCCATTCGTTGACATAGCACTATAATGGAGTTATCTGACTAAAACCTGAACTGTGGTTGTATGATGAGAAGTTGTAGTTCACATTCATATTCAATTCCTAGGGTTAAAGTCCTTTGATTTCAACAATTGAAAAATCGCTCATTTCCAATGATTTTTCAAGTGCTGGAATGAGATTTAAAGTTGAAATGGTAGTTGTGTTATGAGAGGATACAAGTTAATTTTATATTTGGCTACTGATAATGCCTTTCACTTCTGTATGATGAAGAGTGATATCTCTACCCGGGGGTATTATTTTAAAAGCTAAGAGCTGTGCAGTAATTACATCATCCTGAGAGGGTTACTTCTGTTTACATCACACACAGATGGTTGCCTGTTATCTCATCCCACTTTCTTCTTGTTGAATATTTGATTTGACATGGTTATGTTACATAACCTAATTGCACAATTTTAATGTGAGTGATGACATTTTAAGAATAAAAGTGCATGTGAACTGTCCCTTAGTACCAACTATAGTGTAAGAGGATTTCAGCTTCTCATAGCCACAATCGTCCTGAAAATACAGTCAGAAAACCCTGCATGAAATCTATTTTGAGCAGTTTAAATAGGAGATTACTTATTACTGATGCATATTATACCAGAAACCTGATTTGTTTGTTTACAGTCTAGTTGCGGCCACAGTCCCTACACTGGAGTTTCCCAGTTCCTACAGACTTCCAACAAAATCATCCAGTTTTCTGAGGGAAAGGAACCCAAACAAACAGACCGCATTGTTTATGTAGCTGGTGCATTCGATCTCTTCAGTATCCTTTTAATATAGCTGTTAATGAATAATGTCTTTGTAATACAGAGACTTAAAACAAATACATGTATATCTTCTAATTATCACAGTATTATTTAAACTTCAATAGTTTTGTGTTAAAAGTGAAATATACACAGACAGATATTAATGATAGAAGAAATTTGATTTTGTTTGTTGGTTTACGGCCCTATGATTAACCTTAGTCTTTTGAAAGCTGGGTATCTAATAGCAGCTGGTGTCTACCTCACAGAACAACATGCAGGAGGCCCACTGCATGTTGTCCCAAGTAATAGGGGTTAGTGTCTTGCCAAAAGAAAGAACTGCAGCAGCACAAGTAGGGATTATTAAACCACATGCCTCGGAACTTCATTTGAGGTTGCTCAAAAGTCTTAACTATCGTGGTCACAAGCTACCATCAATATAAACCACTTTGTTTCATTTCATCAACCAAGATCCTTATTGATAAACATTTCTTTTATTTCACCATTTGTTTGATATCAATCCACTTAATTACGCAAAATTTTTTGAGTTAAATGTGGCTCAGGAATAATTTTTCACTTCAGAGCAATATTTCTGAAAGCAAAGTAAGAAAGAGTATAGCTGCAATTTGTACTTTGGTCAGGTTGTCTGTCCATCTGTCTGCCTGTTTCCTCATTGTAGGGTTGGTTTCCCTCTTTTTCAATACTTTATGCACATAATATTTACGCCTAATCAAGATATTTACTGCTAGGGGCTAGCAATTAATTTTTGCCATTCTATTATTTTCTTAGAAGGAATATATGTTTTAAGCGATCCTGATATAAATTTTCATTGGAGAATGAAACCTAGACATCAGATGAAATTTGATAGAACTTAGTGCTTCGACTATAAACAGAGCACTGCTTATGTTGGTAGGTACTGTTGGATTTAGAATGTATATTTTTGAGTTTGTTGTAGACAAAACTGATTAATCATTAATCATACAGTGACAATATGTTTGTCCTTAACTGTCCCAGATGTTGGACACCTGGACTTCCTGGAGAAAGCTTCAAAGGAGGGTGACTTTGTCATTGTAGGACTCCACACTGACCCTGTGAGTGATATCAGGTTCTCCGTGGCAGAGTTCACAAGGAATATAGATACAAAATTATAATCTACTCAACAATTCTACAAATGATACTGAATTTCTATTAGTGAATATGAGTTATGTTCAGGTCTTGTTTGTCTTATCTTTAAATCCCTAGTGTAATCCCTTATCACTGATAAAATTAAATATTAAATGTAAAACATTTTGAGTTAGACCTATTTTAGTTTATTCAACATGGTAAAGATTGTAGTTTCTGTTCAGAAAACAGTTGATGATGAAGGTTTCTAACCCACTGTCAGGTCTCTGTATGAGGAAGACAGATTTTCCCCAGACATTCTATTACATGCTTCACATTTTGTGTTTTATGTTAAATATGTCAAGAAGATGACAGCTGATTATTTCCCTATTTCACAATAATTACAACATCAGATTTTATGTGCTGTTGACAAGTTATTACATAAATTATATGCATTATACTACAACTGCAAAAGTTACATTATCAATAGAAAAAAAGCCACTAATGTGACAAAAACATAAATGTAGTAGAAATCTTTATTTTTATAAAAGAAACTGAATTGATTTCTCTCTGTATGTTGATTTACATAACCATTCCCATATTCATTGTGTACGTAAGGTGGCTCTCTCAAGATACTTGGGGCAAGCAAACACTTGTGTACCTCGTACCTAATTCTTTACATGAGAGCTTTAAATTTTAGGTGGTGAACCGATACAAGGGAGCTAACTATCCAATAATGAACCTTAATGAGAGAGTTCTGAGTGTTTTGGCATGCAAGGTAGGTAGCACCTCTTTATGATATTATTACATTTTCAGTTCTCATCAATTTAGTAGTTAGCGTAACACCTGCTTTCAAATGTGTACTCCATGTTACAACTACTGCTTAAGATTTAAAATGTCTGATATCTCCTTGATAGTGAATCTCTGGAACAATATTTCACATCAATGCATTTTTGTTTTTCAGTGCTGTTTATTTATTTAATTACTTAGTCAGTGTCAGTGGCTGTGATTGGGTAACTATATATCTTGCAGTATGTGTCAGAGGTTGTGATTGGGTAACTATATTGTAAATATCTTGCAGTATGTGTCGGAGGTTGTGATTGGAGCTCCCTACGATGTCACTCAGGATCTTATGGACCACTTCAAGGTAAGTCTTATTATGAAAGCAAAAAGATTGATTAAATGTAGGTACCAGGTATGAAAATTCATTGACAGAAAATGATTTACAGGATTAATTATTATTTCATGGGATTGTATTTGGTGACTATCGCATTAAAAAAATCAACAGATTTTTATTCTTATTTCATTTTATTCATCATCTCGTTGAGAATGTGATCATGAAATGCTTGTAACACTTTGTGCTCTTACAGTCAGCTCAAATACACATGTATTATATTGTGGTGTTATCTATCTTAAGATCTCGTTGGAACTTGGACTGATCTTTCATGAGGTTTAGTAGTTTGTAATGGAATGACAGTGATTTTTTTAATTTGACAACAGTCAAAGCTGCCTTAAAGGCCACCTGTAAATAACAGATACCTGTCTATAAATGCCATTGGTTACCTTTATAGAGAGGTTTAACTTATTTTTAGTTTTCCCCATTCTTCTTGAAACTAGAGAATCTGTTATGTAATACCTTGGTTTGTAGTTTTAATATAGTCCAGCTTGAATAATATCTGATGAATGCAAATACATTATATTATCTATTAAGTAACAGATATGAGGCAAACTTCCCTTTTTTTCCCCCAAAAAAACTGAAAAAAAAAAACTGAAAAAAAAAAATTTTCTTATGCATTAACAGGCATGTCCTGCCTCCATGATTTTTGTGTTGCTTGCCTGCCAAAGGCAACATATAGGTATTACTATGTCGTCCCTGTCAGTGTCATTCGAACAAAGGTCTTTTCGCGATAACTTGAGTTAACTATGGCTAATCAAGCTCAAACTTCATACAGTGCTTATTTACCAAAGTGCTTGCTTTAGATTGCTTTTCAGATCTCAAGGTCAAGGTCATTGTTACTGTCAATTGAAAATTAGGTTTTTCGCAATAACTTCACTTCCCTTTGTCTGATCAACTTCAAACTCTATACATTGTTTCTTGAGTTTTGAAGATCAAAGGTCAAGGACAATGTTACCATATATTGGAGATTTGTTTTCATGCAATAACTTGAGTTTTCTTTTGACAATTACACTCAAACTTCATGCAGTGCTTCCTTACCAACTGTGCTTGATTGGGATTTCTTTTCAGGTCTGAAGGCCAAATTCAAGGTCACTGTTACAATAAATTTGTACCAAAGGTACTTGCTTGGGATTGCTATTTAGGTCAAAGGTCAAGGTCATTGTAGCTGTAAAAAGAAAATTGGTTTTGTATGATTACTTGAGGTTTCTTTGGATTATTAGGCTCAAACTCCATACAATGCTTCTTAACCAAATAGCTTGAGATTACTTTTCAGGTGGGTTGTTCCTGTTCCTGCTGTATTTAGACTAAATCAGTATTTATTTTCAAAATTCTAATTCTGCATGTAATTGTGATATACAGATCTATCCTCAGGACTCAGTTTCCTTCGACACTATACATCAAATCTGCAAGGTTACACATCTCAGACAAATGGACAATTACTATAAATGCAATGAATACAATGAATTTTTATGTCTATTGTTCCACAAAACTGATCTCCACAAACCTTGCTGGGCAGGCGACATCCACTTCCAAGGATTCTTGTTGTTGTGAGATACTGTTAGGTATAACAACAAAGATGTTTTAACATGTAGTCTAAATTAATGCTTTAGATATGCAGAATTATTTACAAACCCATATTTTCCATACTACCTGTGATGTTTAAGTGATAAAGTATATCCAACTCATTTGTGCTGTAGGTCGACATTGTCTGTCATGGAATGACGCCGGTGATGCCAGCTGAAGATGGGTCTGACCCCTATGCTGTAAGTATAGGCCTTTCAGAAGCCATCTTTGTTATCTTTAAAAACCAGATATGGCATCTACGTGTTTAAATGTGTTGTTTGAACTGAAAAAATTCATGGGTAAACTCGTACCAGCACTTCTAGAAACATGGAATATGTTATTCTGATAAATGCCTTTTCTATGATTAGGTTCCTACAAAGCTTGGTAAATTTAAGACCCTGGACAGTAAAAATGAGCTGACTACCCGTATGATAATTGAGCGCATCATTGCCCACAGGTAAGTCCCCACTGCAACAACATTTTGTATGTGTGAGTGTGTTACATAACTGGTGTTTAGTGGGACCATAGTTTTAAGAACTTTCACAGCAGTAGAAATGCATGACAAGAATATTATTCATCTGATATGGGCCAACTGGGGCACAGTAAGGGTTATAGTTTCAAAGTCAAATTAAACATCTGTTGTTAAAATTCCATAGATGAGTATACAGTGCAGATGAAAAGCAAATATGGTTATTATTATGATGATGGAAGGAAATATAGCATTCTGGTCAAAATAATCAATTATTTCTTTTTAAGGTAATGTTTGCCATTCTTCTGGCTATCCAACGTTGCCAGAAGTATGTTTCTCCTTGAAGAATTCAGTCCTTTTTACAAATGGTAGAGTTCTCCAGAACTGGGGACTTTTTCCTTTATCCACAAACAATTCAATTTGTTTCTGATCTGTTGAAGTCAAATACATCAGATTCATAATGTTAGTTATTAATAATGCTCTGTAACAGCCCTGTTTCTGATCTGTTGAAGTCAAATACATCAGATTCATAATGTTAGTTATTAATAATGCTCTGTAACAGCCCTGTGTATATATTGTAATCGGATTTGTGCTATGATAGTGCCTGCTTTTATTTACATAATGCTTTTTTAAACCAATTTTGTCTGCTTATATAACAATATTAAGTCTTGTTAAACACTAAATTTGTGTTTTTGTCTTGATTGAATATCTGTTTTGATGCATGCTTTCCTCAACAAGGATGTAATAGTACTTTTGGTGCCATAATGATGAAGCAGGTGGTAGGAAGATACTCTCGGATTTAACCATTAATATTCTGTTTAAATGACACATTTTACACCATAGATGATTGTATAGCTGCATGCTTTCCAAATAATTCTAATGAATGTTGCCTTCCAAAAAAAATGCGATCATTACTGGGAATATTTCAACATTTTATTAATAGTCTGATTAGGGTGAAAATGAAAAATGACGAAAGATTTAAGTCAAATTTGAAACATTTTTTTTGTGTTCAGGGCAAATTTAACATGGATCAAAAAAGTTTTATGAAAGGACCAAAACTTTCTGGGCAATATACATTAGTGGATAGTTGTAACCATTGAACTTGAAAAGTTTTTTCACAATCGAAATTTATATTGAAAAACTTTTGCATTGCATGCTTTCTCCAAAAATGATATGGTTGAATGGGTTTCAAAAAGAAAAAGATATTTTCATCATCAGAAATTATATTTTTCAGCACCGAAAACATTGAAAAATAAATGGCTGTCAGCATTGAATAAATCGGTGGTTGTCACCATTGAACAGATCTGTGGCTGACACCAGTGAACAAAGTAGTGGATATCTTTATTGAACCAATCTAGATATTACCACAAAGAAATCTGTGGACATCACAATAGAACAAAATGAGTTATGAAAGGAAAAAAAAAAAAAAAAAGCTGTGACTGCCACTATCAAACAGATCTGCAGATGTCGCCACATACTTGTGGGTGTCACTATTGCACAAACCTGTGGCTGTCACCTTTAAATATACTTGTGGATGTTACATTAGAACAGATTTGTGGCTGTCACCATTGAATGAATCTGTGGCTGTCGCCATTGAATATACTTGTGGATGTTACATTAGAACAGATTTGTGGCTGTCACCATTGAACGAATCTGTGGCTGTCGCCATTGAATATACTTGTGGATGTTACATTAGAACAGATTTGTGGTTGTCACCATTGAACAAATCTGTGGCTGTCACCAGTGAACGAACGTGTTTAACACTATTGAACTTATCTGTGATTGACATCATTGAACAAATCTCTGACTGTCACCATTGAACAATAGTATAAAGCTGATTGTCATGGAAAACCATTTTTCATTATGCTTCTATCAAGTCTGTGTCTTGCGATGTTGTGCATGCTTTGCTCATCTAGAAAGTGGTTTTAATGGTTCACTTTGTGCATTGCTATGCATGTCTGTCCACAATTTTCATTTCTGCACCAAGCTGTGCATCTTCTTCAACATATATCCTAGTCCCTCCCTGTTTTCTCATTACAGGCTAGAATACCAAATAAGGAACAAGAAAAAGTCAGAGAAAGAATTGAAGATATTGGAAGCTCTGTTCTAGGTGTGGATTCTTTTCTATGATTTATAGGATGGATCTTTTCCAAGGGAGATAACATTGCATTGATTATATTGTTGGTTTTTTTCCCCTTGTCATGTGATCAGGTCTTCAGTTGTCAGCTTTGGAACTTAATAAATTTTGAATCCTTCAGTTATCTTTTCTAACAAAGGAAGCTATGAATGAAATTGATTTCCACACCACAAACTTCACTGGTTGGTTGTTCCGAATATCATTTCATATTTTTCTTTCATCATCCTCTAATCATCCAAACTGATTTGTGTTTTCTAATATTTTGCCATAGGAAACAATTTATCACCTCTTTGTTTTCTGATATGTTTTTTCTGGTGTTCAACTCCTTCAATAATACTTATCATACAACTTGTGTATTTTTTTACCATCTCATGTGGAATTTCATCTTTCACCTGGTCCTTTGATGATAACACATGTAGATATAGTTTTATACCTAAAGTCCGCAAAATCAGACTGTCTGGCATACAACTTTTGTTCACCCTACCATCATCAGATGGTGGGCTAGTCAAATCGCCTGACGTCAGTGTTCCCCGTCTGTCTGTAAAACAATTTTTGTTTTCGCTGTATTTTGAGAAGATTTTTGTTGATCTTTCTCAGATTTCACATGTAGGTCCCCCTTGGTCCCTAGGTGTACATACTTGTTTGATTTTGGAACAAATCAGAAAAAAGGTCAACAGGTGACAATCTTGGATTTTGAATTTGAAAGTTTGTTATTCCTATTTCTTGAGAACTACTGTATATGTCTTTCTCAAATTCAATGAGAAGGTTTCTCTAGGTCCCTCATTGTGCCAATTTGATTTTGGGACTGATAAGGAAAACAAAATGGCCGACAGGCAGTCATGTTGGATTTGGCAGTAAAAGATTATTATTGCTATTTCTGCATAGGAATGTTCAAATTTCTTATCATCAAGATCAAAAACAGAGAAGAGAGAAACAAAGGGAAAAGAACTTTCAAAGAGCAAATAAATATCGAACGATGGTGGGAGCCATTATCCCTCTGGGATCTTGTTTTTTTATTTTTATTATTTCACTTTGTATTAGATATATACATTGATTTTCTATTTTAGTATTCTAAATTGGTGTAATATTTGTGATATTCTAGGAGAATCATACCTTTCAATATTCATAAAATGGACATTCAGCTTATTCGTAATTTGTAATGTACAATAACATTATGATGGTGCTGAGGGATTTAAACTGCTAATTCAGTGAATGGTTCCTTTTCAGGCTCCAGTACCAAATGAGAAACAAGAAGAAGTCTGAGAAAGAACTTTTGATAATGGAGGCTCTGACAAAGAATAATGTTAGTGAGAAATAAACAATATCAGCACTTTTTTGACCCCTGACTTAGATACCATGACATCAACAAAACCAAGAATTTGACCTTTTGGATGCAAAGCAGAGGAGTGACGTGGCAGTGTCTCTTCAGATGAGTTCAGATGAACTACGTATATGTTGGCCATCTTGGACAGTGGCCAAACAAGTTTACTGGTCTGCATTGGGCAGCTACATCTATTTGTTATAAACTTTTTCATTTCAATACCCTGCTGTATTTTTCTTTGTTCACATATACCATTAAACAGTCTTGTTTCAGTTACATCAATCATAAGAACATGAAGTGAAACTGGCTGTTAAATCCTTTAGTGTATATTTCATCAGTTCAGTTGTATTTGGATACGTTTACTATATATTTTGTTACTTTTTCAGAACATAGTGGATTGTAGACCTTTACAAAGTATGGTCTATTTATAGCATGTCTTTAATGATGTGGAAATAACTTTGCTATTGACATTCGAGTGGGACATAATTTTACCGTATCTGTTCCTCCTGTCAAGTCCTCTCCTGTTCCGAAATCAATATCATTAACATAGAGAACCTCACAACAGATTTGGTAGATGTTAACCCTATATTATCGAAACATCAATTCTACCTCTGATCAGATTCTGGTTTGCATGGAAGGGGGACACTAAGACATTTTCTAGTTAGTAATTTTATTGCTGAATAATGGGTTTGGTATTGCACTCGACATTTAGAGCAAGGGAACTTTTAATGGAAATAGTATGCTAGTATTTTGGCCTTATGGTTTATGTATTACTGTAGATGTTTTTTGTTTTAAATCATTACTGTGTAATGTAGACTGTGTAGACTGTTCTTGTTGGTATTGTTGTTTCCATTAACTATGTTTTGTATTAACATTCCATCTGTGATGGGACATAGTAAGACAAGCATAATCATAATCTCTGGACTAAGTCAATAAAAATATAGAGTTGCCTTCATTCCTGTTGATTTCATGTGCGAGAATTAGTACTTACTAAAGTAAATTTAACACCTAAGCTCTAATTGTGACAAAATTATTGATTCAAACTGTAAGGCTCACATGTCATCAGGTTTAAAATATTCAAGTTATCTCAGAAAGGAGGAAAAGAGTAGACATATACATGTTCCGTTACTAAGGCGAATTTATCTAAAAATTTTGTGAAGAGTGTTGAGTGAGCTCTCATTTCTTGTAACTTACTAATTATTAATCACACAAGTGCAAGATTTCGCCAGTAATAACAACTTTGTAACAGATATACTTTATTCTTTGTTATATTTCATGGATTATGTGAGGTTTTAAAAAACATATGTACTGAAAAAAAGAACAGAAGGAACTTCTCCTGTTATTGTATATTTAGAATTGATTTGCTTTCCCTAGATAGTATCCTGTTATTTAACATTTTACCCCACTGACAAATCAATGCTTTATATTGTGTTACAAGGAAACCATGTCTTGTATTATATTAGTTTGACTTTTATAAACATGTTTTTAAGCTCTGTGGGGTTTCTATTTCATATTCATTGCTTTTGCTGTCAATTAAAGTGTTGTGTTTTGACATGGTAGAACTACTTACCCCAGTAGGCCTTTGTTTATGTTCCTATTTGTCGATTCAGATTTTTATCAAGGGGTGCATGTAAATTATTCAAGAGTGTATGAATAAAGAAATTGAACTTTTTCTGTTATTTTTGTTCATATTATTCATAGATTCTTGTACAAGTAAAAGAATTGCTCCCTCACCTCAGTTATCATGAGATTGTCCTTAAAGAAATGAAGTCGATACATTCAGACCTTGGCTTTCCAGTCAGAGTAAGTTTAAAAGTTTTAACAACTTTGACCTTTTGGATTCTTGAATGTAGGTTGAAGTCACTGATTTAAGAAACTTAATATCTCTTTTTCTCCCACCTCTGCCCATGTAGGATAGACATGTAGAACACCCATGGAGGATTAATAGAATCTTCCCCTACCCTGAGGGTGTGATAGAGAAATCTCCAACCCAAGGGGTGATTTTTGTTGTTGTCTAACCCGAGGCTCTGCCTGTGGGATTTTTTTTTACGTCGTGGCGGAAATAATGGGATGGGAGAAAAATAATCAACCCCTACCCTCAGAGGATGTGACAGAGAAACCTCCAACCCTCAGGATGATGTATTTTTGTAACAAAAATCACCCCTCGGGTTGGAGATTTCTCTATCACACCCTCAGGGTAGGGGAAGATTCTATTAATCCTCCATGGGTGTTCCACATGGGACATGTCTATCCTACATGGACAGAGGTGGGAGAAAAATCTATCCCACATGACTGCACTCGGTGACCTCAGTTGGCTATCATAACTGACTCAAACCAGAGACGTATATATCACATATGTTATATGCGTCTCTGCTCAAACCAACGAGTGGATGCTTTGTTTGCAGGTTCCGTAATGCGCGACTGTAACGTCACAGTTAACATTAACAATAACAATCCTTGTCCAGTGAACACAAATAAATGTCGTAGGAACACGCACGTGACACTCACACCATTGCAATATTTCGCGCGCATAAACAATTGACGTCATTATAAACTGGGAAATCCCCTTTTTGTCCACGACATCGCGGCAAGCCTACCCTACCTTAATAAATGATACGGAGTTAAATGTTGTTCAATACAAGTATTTCCATTTTCCATATATCTATCGCTAATTAAAATATTTAATTTCCAAAAAATAAATAATTCTAATGGTTATTCATATTGCGTTTGTAGTTTGTCATTTTGCTCTCGCGGAAGAATGAAGAATTTTGGAAACGTGAATGGTGATACTCATACGCCATTCGGACACTTGTACCGTGGGATTTTTTTTTTTTATGTCATTACACAACAACAAAAATCACCCCTCGGGTTGGAGATTTCTCTATCACACCCTCAGGGTAGGGGAAGATTCTATTAATCCCATTTCATGTTTGTTTGTCTTCTGGGCAGGAGAGAAAACAACAAAGTCTGATACTTTTTTCACATTCTTTTTGTTTAATATATATATTTTGCATGTTTAGCAGTAACATCAAAAAGACAAGGAATATTTTCACATATCAATTACTTGCATAATTCTTTTCAAATGAACAAAGTTACTGCTTGGACATGCAAATAGTGTTTGTACATAAATCATCAAAACTACCAGATCTACAAAAATGTGGACATAGTTCTAAGGAAATCTATCCCATCGAGCTTCATTAAACACTGGTGAATATGTGATCTTAAAGAGCATGATGACATCTGAATTTAAATTTACAAAATCTAAGTCATTTGCCATTTCATTCCCAGTCTGCAATCTACTAGATTCGCTCCGACAACCATATTGCACCTTTACATCCAAGCTTTATCACTGATGACATGGCATCGTAAAAAGGGGCCTGAAAAACATAAATATACACGATTCTGTTAGTGTAACTATTTGACATGCAAAATTCCTTCTGTTTAAAACATATTTTACTGAACAAATCCCTTTCATTTCCTTAAAGATGTCAATTGACCACGATGCTTTGAATGCTTTTTAAATGTCTTGTACATACATATATACAGTAAAACATGTATAAGTCAAAGTTAACAGGATCAAATGAAATATTGCACTTATCAGATGGTTCGATTTAGCCATATTTCTATGAACGGAGACACTTTGCATCAAAAGATTGACTTTATTTTTATCGGTTGTTTACCAGATACATGTCTCATAGCATGGCTTAACAATAATAAATAAGTAATAAATAATTTTTATTTTTACAATTTTACACCATATCTTTTAAGTAAACAAACAGTTATAAGAATAAAAAACAAACAAGAGGCCCAACAGCCTTAATGGTCACCTGAGTCACAATGCTTCGTGTAACATGTCATAGAAATATATTTTGTTAAAAAAATAGCATAATTTTAACTATATTGTACACATAATGCAAATGTTATTTGTGTATACATTAACTGCTGTCCCATGCTAAGGCTACTAACCAAGTTTGAATGAAAAGAAATTACATTCAAGATTTGAATTTTCCTATATGATATCTTTCATCCAGAAACAGTAGAACATTTTTTTAACTTTTTTAAACTTTTTGACCATTTTTGACCCCATCCCTCAGGCCTTTGAAGGTTTGGGACCATGTATCAATTTACAATTTTAGTGTGCCTTTAGCCATGAATGTTTTTGTAAAATTTCATTGAAATCAGTTCTGGAGTTTTCAAGAAGTCAAAAATGTTAAATTTAGAATGAATGAAAGGGGATTGCAATAGGTCACCCTGAAACTTTTTCACTTAAGGTCTTCTGGTGTTTTGACAGTTTAGAACCTGTCCAAAAGTCCCAGCATTTTGGTACACAAAACAGAACAGAACTTATACATGCATACTTACAAAGTTTTTGTTGTTGCTAATTTCTAAAGTCTTAATTTTCAAACGGAACTGATAACACTCTCTTTTGTTATAGTTAAGCATATTTGATAAACCTTCATCATCGCATACTACTGGCCCATTATCTGCAACCTGGTCCTTTTGGTTACTGAGAAGATCTTATTTAAAGATTTTGACATACTTGATAAGTGGGTCAAGGTCAACAATATTAACAAACTTGGTAGCCCTTCATGCCAGCATACTATAGGCTCAATATCAGCACCTTGGGCCTTCAGATTATTGAAAAGAAGTTGTTAAAAGATTTTAATACATTTGGTCTCTGTGACCTTGAAAGTGGGTCAAGGTCATTCATTTATACGAACTGGTAGCCCTTCATCCTAGACACTCCAGACCCTATATCATGCCCTGGGCTTTTGGTTACTGAGACTTTTAAAGGTTTTTTCATATTTGATACATGTGACCTTAAAGAGTGGGTCAAGGTTAACAATATTTTTCAGTGCTACTTACAAACTGTTCCAAATTTAGTACTGATTGTATTGATTAACAATTGCTTTACTAATAAGTGTCTGGTGTAGGATAATGGTGCAGTCCTCAATAGTTTGACATTATTACTGGCAGATAGTGGATGAGTCTGTATATAGCTATTTATACCTTTTCTGCATCATGTTCCAATCCAGTGTCATGGTGGTGGAGTTCATCATCTCGAAATTTTTTAATGATCTGTAAAAAGACAATAAAAATCCTTTAAACCCTGTCTGAAATGATATTTAGATTGAGATAATCTATTGACCAAGACATTGCTGAATTAGGGTTTAAGTAACAAAATTGAAAATTTCCAATGTCATAAAACCATTCTTGCACAATACAACTGGGTCACATTGCACCGATAGATAAGTTGTTTTTTTTATCTGATAACAATAATTGGTCCCTACCTGTATTAACTCCTTATGTTGTTCCGAGTCATCTTCTATAAGGTCACGAAGCTGGCTGAAATAAACATGAACATTATGTCAATCTATCAAAAGGAGGTAAATCCTAAAGGTATAACTACCATTAAATTGCTGCTTTTGCATTACGTGTTACTATTCCCTTTAAAATGCCTCTGGTGATGTAGGTATAAGCAAAAGCTGACAGATGTCTGAAATCTCATTCCTTCCTCCAGCACTCCTTCCTCTAGCATTCCTATCTTAATCAATGTTGTGATCCATCATTTAAAAATTACATGTAAAGCAGAATACCTTACAAAGGGAAGTAACTCTTGACTAAGTAAAACTTATCATCTACCTGGACTCACCTGAAATTAATATATCTTTATTAAGATTTTTGGAAAGCAATGAAATCAAATGATCAAGTGTGCTTGTAAAAAATCATGGAATGAGGAATATGATATCTCACTTGAGTTCGCTTGATTGATATATCAATTAGGCAATAAAATATATACCTTGCACTTCTGCTGTTCTGTCATTCAAATACTGAGGATTTTGTTCAAAAAACATGAACTGCTGTTTATTTCCAGTCTGTGCACCTACCTATTGTAATGTTCTCCTATCACAGTTTCCACAGCCACAGTACAGGCCATGGCACCTTCCTTACCAATCAATGCAGTCCCTGCTCCTAAAATAATAGTCAACAGATATATCTGTTAAAATATAGTTTTGTCCATAAGAGTGCAAGTTCACTCACTACCAAAATGCATTTACTTTAAAAAAATGTAAATGTCGCCAATAAAGCAAAATTTTCATGAATCAGGATCTGGACATGAAGTGCTTTACCACAAGTGTTGAAGTATCTGATCTTACATAGATGTAACAGGGCACAGACTAACCACCCATCCTGAGAGGGTGAAAATAGTAGATCTTCTCGTTAAAGTGAAATATTCTACTAGGTGACCTCGTTTAAAAACAAACAATAAGTTCATATGCAAGTGCTTTGGAAAAAACAACATTTGATGAACAATCAAATGGAGAAAAGTGGCAAGATATGATGCTAGTAAGAATTGTTAACACAATTATTCAAACGTCAACAATGATTATAAGGCAGTGGCTAGCTGGAAGACATCAGTCTACGAAAAGTAACTATTACAGTTTATAAATGAACCCTGTTTTCACTTTGAAAGTCAAATGTCTCCTAAGAATTTTACAATTATTGTTATGTTATGTGTTTCCATCTTGTGTTCATTTAACCCCTTAACTCCCAACTAACTTCAAGTAGGATGAAATAATCAAAGCTATTTAAAGAGATTAATTTAAACAAACTCACCACTAGTAACTAATCCATTTTAAATCTATGAGCATTTTAAAGGGAAAAGAATCATTCAGAATTGTTTCAGAAATTTCTGGACAACAACATGTCCTGCTATGTATTTAATAATTGTTAGTTGTTTTATCAATGTTTTTGGTCATTTACAGAGTTGGCCAACAGAACCTCAAGTAATGATCCAAGGTTCATGGTTTGATACTCCTTACTAATGATGGTTTTTGTTTCTCAGAACGTTGAGGAACAAGCAAGTCTGTGCTGACCTGGTTGTGTCTTTGGGCATGACACTTTACCCTAATTGCTCTTGACAGTATCTGATGGGGCTCCCATATGTTGTTCAGTAAGCCACCAGCTATTACAAAAAGACCCCAGCTCAAAATGCACCTGGCTGTTCACAGGGTGATAAACCCTGCAAACTATTTTGTTATGTTTTTGTACCAGTTTTAAACTCATCATTTTAAAGTTATGTGCTGCCAAAATTACTCAAAAATTCCTCTGATGTTCAGTCTAAGAAATGGGCATTTCCTGTAACCAACGATAACTGTATAGGTTGAGAAACAAACAGTATTATTATACATACCCAGTACAAATCCAGCTACATTCCAGATAGGTAGCAGTACTGTTGGCCTGGCTCTGTGTTGTACAATCAATTTCTCAAACGTCTCGAGGTGTTCCTTTTCTTCGTCCCACATTTTCTAGAATGGGTATAATCATTAGGTATCTAACACTGTTTTTTTTTTTTTTTTTTAATCAATTTATCTTTGGTGAAATAGTATATTCTAAAGGATTTGTTTTAACTGTAAAGCACTAAATATTATAAGGTCAATAGTTTAATGCAACTAACCTGATAGTTAATCATCCATGCAAGCTTTCACAATAACCATGACCATATTAATATAATGGAAGAATGAATGTTTTATGACAGACAAAGAAAAAGTGATTTGGTCTGATAAATCACTTAGATCTAATATTCTATTTGACTGAATTGAATGAAGTCACAGAAAATTTTTGAGAGTTTTATCATACATGTAGTTGCTTTGATTTTCTTTTGAATGCTACCTTGATGACAGGGCCAGAGGCTGTGTTGCCCAGAACAGCATGTTGCCCAGCATAAATTCGGTCTGCTCCTAGCTCTCCAGCATGATCAATTCTTATAATTTTGTCCACCAGTGCTCGTGTCCTTGCAGATTTGGCCTGTGTACTGATTCCACGGACACTTATGCGACAAACCAATGGCAACGACATGATGATACCAAATAGGGTCAACAGTCAACTTCTGTAACAAAATAAAATTAACAAATATTGCTCAATAGTCTATGTACTATCCTGTGATTAATCTTAAACAAGAGGTCCCATTGGCCATTTTGTTTTCTCCAAAAAGTCCAAAATCAATAATGCACAATAAGAAACCAAAGGGATTCTATTGATGAAATTTTGGATGGTCATGATCCAGTATTTGTCAATGAATAGTGATAAAAGACTGTAAGTGTCAAAGGCAGTCACCCTCCTTCAAAAGGGAATCTACATACAAAGTTTGAAAATGATCCAGAACTAGTTGTTCTTAAGAAAATGGGATATCAAGAATTAATTAAGGTCATAACCATTGACAAAGGGCAATTTGAACAATCAACCATGAAAATTCTAAAAAGACAAACTACACAAAGTGATCAATATTTAATCAATACACTATCACCAGGGATGTATAATGCAGTGACTGTAAATATGGCAAAGATAACAAACATCTGACATCAGCTTTTGTTCAATGATCATTGAGGTCATCAAAGCCCATTTCTTAACACTTTGTTTATGAATCTGATTTTTCCTTCGCCTTGTTCACTTTAAGCTAAGTTTAATATTTATTGACTTAGCACTGACTGATCTGACCTGAGCCATTTTTGTCAGTCAGTGAATAGTGACCCTCTTTTTTGTTACAAAAATGCTATAAATAAATCAAAATGATTTCTCATAAAAATTATGTGTCAAATGGAAAATTACTTAGCTTTTTGATGTTATTTATTGAAAATCAGTTTTCTTCATATTTCAAGCAGAAAGTGGTATACAACATAAATAATTAAAACATTTTGAGAACATCAAAAATTCTTACAAAAGATTAATCACAAAATTTAGCATGTTCATTTTTTATATTACATAGCTTGCTTCTACTGTTTATATTAAAAAATGTGTTATGGTCACCTAAAGAAAAATGGTATTTAAACATAGCAACTTCTCTCAAATTTATATACTGTAGCTTAATTAGAGAGATAGATACAGTGTCTCTGAATCATTTAATAAATATTCCTAATATCACACACAAATATAGTTTTTTAAACAATAGAAAGACAAGATATGATCATCCATATACAACTTTATGAATATACATGTAAATACAGATACTTTGTAATAGGAGCAGGTTGGTGTGGCTTGTGTATAATGCTAAATACGGTATCAGTCACTCAGCTGACACAGCATGCTTTTTTGGTTCAGTTGGCTGAGACGGTGCTTATCACATCAGAAACACGGGTTGGATTCCTGGTCAGGGTACTTGTCAGGAATGTGTATTTTCCCTGTTCTTCCACATTGTCGCCCAACAAAATCGCACAAGTTGTGGTATGTGGAGTCTCTGGTTGAGATTTAGGAAATCTCAAGAAAAATAGGGGAGTAGCGTAATAGGAGCAGGTTGGTGTGGCTTGTATATAGTGTTAAATAAGGTCTCTGTCACACAGCTGATGGAGCATGCTTCTTTGGCTCAGTTGATTTTCACACCAGAGACCTGGGTTCGATTCCTGGTCGGGGCACTCGAGAAAGAATGTATTTTCCATTTTCTTTCATACTTATTTTCAATGCATTATAATACAGTGTTAAACACTAAGAACATTGAAAAGCACACAACAGCTTCAGTACTGTGTCTGTAAATACTTTAAAAAAGCAATAATATAAGTCTGAAAAAAAATCATTCATGGAAAATGGAATCATGATTTCTCTGATTCAAAAAGATATTTCTACTATGTCAATCTGAGACCCATAATAAATGAAATGATATACACAGAAATTCAGGTTTATATATATCGGTATATTTCATCAGATTTTTTATTCCATGGGAGTTAAGTGATGAGTAATTTTTTATGTAAATTTTAAAAAATTGTTATCACAGATTATCATTTAATAAGAGACGAATGACACATACTTTTCAAAATTATCATATCAGAATTGGTAAATTTGATATGCTACATATAGAGAATGTCCTGTTATTTGCCTTTTCTTCTTTAAATGCACTAATGTTTTAAAATGTAGATAACTCAATGCAGTGTACCAAAAGGCCAGATATTATCAGATTTGGAAAACATATTCATAGCACAAACAGCAGAAAGTTGTGCATTCCTGTAACCCGTGAGCTCATAGAAGCTGGAATCAGCAAATCATAAGTGATATATTGTATCCGATAGTGTAGTTGAAAATTAAGCAACCTCTCCCACTAATCCATGGACGTAGTCAGCTTGGATAATTCGTAGCCCTTGTCTACATGGATAATATGTATTCTGGTCCATATTGTAAGTTATACGAACAAATGGTTAGACTGTAAAACATCACTGCCCAAAGTGTAGAATAAAAATGTTACTATATGACAATGATCACGTATACACGAGCGAGATCAGTTTGCCTCGAGAGAACCGTGAGTATAATGCTTATGCAATAATGCATACTTTGCTGTCATTGATTCAGTATATCTTCTTAATATTCATTTGAACAACATGATGAGCTTGTGAAATGTGTTGCTTTGATATGGTGACTCCACTTCAGTTAAAAATATATTCAAATATGAACTTATTATTACACACGCTTGTGACCTCAAAAAAAGAGGTCACCATTGCAAGCATTATATAAAGGGTGTGTTTTACGAGAAAGCTATGAAAGAATTTGCAGTTAGACAACAACCTGGCAAACTAACCAAAAAACTCATGACTCACACATTACAAGTCTGAATAAATGCCTCATCGTTTCTTCAACAGATAGAATAAAGATCCTAGTCGATTTGTTATCCACCAAGAAATTTCGTCTGCTTGCAGACCGGAAGCTTTAAAGTACGGAGTGAATAAAAATGTAAACTTCCGTGAAAAATCAATTTTATAAAAGCGATAAATATCAATGTTAATAATCAAGGATTCGATCTAAAATAAAAAGGTATAAAACAATTGAAATCTACTAAATTATCCATGTGTGTTTAATATGTAAACAAAATAATTCATCCAATGAAAACTCTCCAAACCAAGGAGTGATCCAGTCAAAACAGGTGATTGTGTATTCCCCACACCAATGTATGTAGATTTAGTTCAGTGTGAACACTTGGACCATTTAACCGATCTCAGCTGTTCAAGTAATTCTGGGACGGATCGCTGACGCTGAAAACGTTGAATTGTCAAGAGAAAGAAAAGACAGCCATGTGGTAAGTGGTCTATGATTAGAATAATTATGTTGTGTATTGACGTGAACTATTCCTTAGGTGATGATCTGATGATGAGAAACTAAAGCGCTCAATATGATAATAAGGTGCAGAATTATTCACTTTATGAATGGCGAATATCTCATCGTACTGACTTTGTTGAGAAATCGTTAACTGTCATTAGCTGTTGTCATGAACAGATGCCAATAATGATATAATCCGTAGGATGAAGGTAAGCTGTAAAACGAAACTTGGAAGTTTTGTTTTAATTTGTATTTGTTTTGCCGTGGTGCAATACGCAACTGATATTGCAGTATTGAAATCGACAGTGGAAGGATTGTCTTTCCACATTGCTTCGTGGGAAAATGAATCAAAGGTACAGTACTGTATACATGACAGGTTGTGAAAAAAGGAGAGAAAAGCTTAATTGAAAAAAAAATTGATGATTGAAACAAATCACTAATTAAAAAACAAGATAGTAACTGTACATTCAGGCAGTTTTCACTTTATTTTCTCTTGGCCAACCAAGGAAATCTTGATAGTATACATGCTTTGTCTGGATTGCCACAATCAAGTGGCACTGAGGAAACCACATTGGTCTCTCAACACGGAGACCAGGTTTCGATTCCATGATTAGATGTGAAAAATGAAAAGTTACTTGCCTGACCTATCAGTTTTCTCTTGATGCCCTATTTTCCTCATGAAGACTAAGGCCCAAACTTTATACAAATTTTCATCCAGGCCAACAGAATCAATTAATCTAATTTGATAATAATGTATTCCGGACCTTTCATGAGTTTCCATTTAATGTTTTTTGATGGAAAGAATGTAAGAATTTTAAATTTCAGATTTAAATTTGAACAACCTTTTAGTGAGCGAAAATTCAAAAAAGAAAATTGTAGTGAGTTTTATAGTTTACATATCAAAAAAAGATTGAAGATTATTTTTATCATATGATCAATTATTCAGGAAAAAATTACAGAAAACTTACTTTTCCATCTCAAACTTGAAGTCATTTTGATTCTATATATCTATTGTTTCAATGGATATGTCTTAATGCAATCTGTGTGTAACTTTGTTTCGTCATCTAAACTTGATATCACTGCTATGCTTTACACACATGTATAACATAACATAAGAATATTCTTTGAATAACAAGGCAATCATGTGATAAGACTTGTTCCTATCGTGATTGCTGTAAAATAAGTATAGGAGATTTAATGGCTTTCTATTGAATGTGATATATATTTCATGAGTTTGACAATTAAATGTTGTTACATGTATATTCTGTCATACAGGTGATGTCTTAGGATATTGAATGGGACATTACTTGTTACATTTTTAAAGAAAGAAAAATAGCTAAAAGTACATCCAAATAACCAAATAAAATAAATACTTAGCATGTTCTTTGATGTTAGATAGGCTTAGTGGCGATATGCTTGACAAGTATTCTATCAGGTTTTTTTTCTGATAAGATTTGCTAATGAAACTGATCATTTGAAGAAAATATGGAATGTACACAGCAAAATACATTGTAGAAAAGCTGCTTATTTAACCTTTGTTTTGTTTGTCTTAAGATGGTAAAGTGACATTATGGTAAAACATTTGTTTCTTATTTCTTTTATTAACTATTGCATATATAGATCAAGTGTTTTTGCTGGAATAAGTAGATAAAGAGGTTGATTAATAAGTATTAAAAGGAAATCCTTATCTGTTGATCAACAGCCTGGATATGTTAATTTTTGCATCATATATGATAATGTATGCTCATAAAACACTGTCATCTGTAAATAAAAAAAAATGGCTTTCAGCCTAAATCAGTTGCAGCAGTGTTGGCAATAAATGTCACTTATTTTGTAATTCTGAATTGAATTAAGACTTATCAAATGAAATTTACCAAAATTTAGCAAAATCCTGTGCTGAAAAACAGAATTTTACTTACTGTGTCACTACTATGGCTGTCATTTAAAGCCGCCATCATGTTTTCGTGTTTACAAATTTGACATTGGAAATGAACTGTGAATATGGAGATAACATAGAAACATAAACAGAAATGTATAAAACACAATCAATAACAAATTAATTGTTTTATTGTGATGTCCCTTTCAAATCTTAGAATCTTAATGCAATGAATACAAAGTTGTGATTGGTCAACGCTGAAAAAGTTGTATTATCTTGAGAAAAATTAGTTATTTCCATTGAATATCAAACATTTTTCACAAGCATGACAGAATACCAATTTATTTTTTCTCCAGCAAAGATGGTGTGCCAGTGAACAGTATTTGCATTAGCATAACTTCTTGCTGTAGCAAAACAATTATCCAGTATACCTATAGACTTTTCATTTTCAGGAAATTGGGGGGGATGGGGTTTATAGTGATATCAATAGTGATAACTAAGTGACTTAGAAAGGACTGCAGTATGTGAAATAGGTATCCAACACGTATATGATAAGACATTGTGGATTTCAGTTGTTCTGGTCTTGCATGGGCAGACTGATATTCATACACTGACCCCATGTCCTGTATGAGCCTGTCTTTACCTGACACATATTGTTTTGGCATTTATTATTTTAAGTTGAAGAAAACCCTAAAAAACAGAGTGTTTAGACAAGAATGATTCATACTTTATATCTGAAAGCCATGATTGGCTGTCAAAATTACTGTGCATGACCTTTAGAATGTGGAATATTCCTCAGAGTCAGTGGAATGTTAACTAATGGTAGGAACAATGTCCTGCTTGCTTTATCTCTTTGTTCTTAGTCCCAATGCAAAGACATTGCAATAGTGTTGTTGGTTTTTTTTTCAGCAGGAAGGTTGGTCATATCAGGTACTTAATACATGAATCTAATGATTAACCAGTTTCTGCACTCTAGTGATACCTGACAAAAATGTATATCAATAATTGGATTTGAAATTTGACGTAACTGAAACAATTTTTTTTAAAAAGAAGGAAAAAGTCTGTATAGTGTTTTCTTTTTCATTATCACTGAGCACATACACTTAAATTGTGTACAAAAACATCAGTCTCAGAAAATACCAAATTAAATATATCAATCACAACAGTCTCAGGGTGTGTGGTCTTCAATCTTATTAGGTGTTCGCCGACCAGTTCGCCCACTTGGGCTTCATCTCTGAAGAATCTCAGAAGAAGTAATGTCATTATCTATATTCAGCCAGAATCATGCTTAAAGTTATTTAAAAAAAAAAAAAAAAAATTATCTACACAATGAATTGGTGACTTCATGCACTACATACTTACAATATATACATGTACCAAAACTGGACACCAATTTTGTGGTATTGGGCATAGCAAAGTGAAAGTGCCATATTAGGGAAATTTCATTACAAATTAACAGCATTAGTTTGTTTCAGTATGCATGATAGCTTTGTGGTTAGATAGAATTTTTGGAAACACAAATATTTCTTTTTCTTTTTTATCTTTTTATTTTAAAAATAAGATACACATTTCTTAAGCCTTTGGGCAGTTTTATCAAATTTAGTAATCTTCCATTTCCTTCAAGCTATTTGTCTGAATCATTACTCAAAATTGCATCTTTTATGCTTGACTACCTCATACATATGTACATATCCAAAAGTCCAGTGTTACTATACAACATACAGTGTACACAAATAAAATTGAATATTGAATGCAAGGGTAATGGGGTTAAAAATGCTGTTTGCATTAGAAAGAAAACCAAGTGTGTACTCTTTCAATTTTCATTTACTTTGATGTTCTTTAAGACTTTCATCTATATTAGAAGATAGTAAATTACTGACAAGACAACAGTAACATGACTGTGTAGCAAGACATTTTAAAAGTCGTAAAAGTCTCTATATCATGCTGTCAAAATCCTTAAGGTTTACAATAAATATGACATTGAGGTCAAGATATGCAATGCTTAGACACAGTGGCATCTGAATTGAAAAATTGTTGTGAAACAAATTGGCCTCTACTTGCATATTAAACTTTAAATAACCTAAAGGCAGAGTATTTATCGTTTGAAAGTACTGATAATGTGAAACTGTCTATCATTTACAAAGAAAATGGTGGAAATGCTTACTTTTGAATAGAAACTTATTACAACATTTCTTGTAATTCAAACTATTTTGAAATAGTTGTTAAAGGGATATTCCATCCAAGTAAGGATTTCATAAGATGCCTTTTTGGAAAATTTTACAAAAGCATTTACTTATATTCTCATAGAAATCGCAAGACTCAATTTCCCCAAAAAATCAACTTTCGCTATTTATTTGGGGAAATTCCATTTAGGTCTAGCTAGATCTGTTTAGAAATGTTCAGGCTGCCCTGATGACGTCACAACAGGTTTGCATCTGTGTTATACACTGTAAACAAATGAAAATGGCGACTCCCACTGAGACACATTTAGGGTGAAAGAAAACGGTTTCTACGTCAGAGAAAAAAGAGGAGAACATTGAAATTGGCAAGACAAAAACCATGCATCACAATTGGTTAACTGTACAAAAGGTGGCAGCAGTTTATGGAAGTGAACAGCCAGTGTAAAAGGAACGAAGATGCAGTGCAGATGTTGTTGGACAACTGATATATTTGTTTTTGTAGCCTCGCTTTCAAAATGATCACATGATAAACACGCTTT